TTACTGTTTTCACTTTGACAATGCTGATGTTATTTAAAGTGTTAATTATTCTTAGGAGTTCTTTTTATAATCCATTTAATGCAGTCTATAACCTACATGAATGCAGGGTAATTGGTATGGAAAATCCATTCCAAGCGGTTAAGATTCCCTGTAGCCTTATTCCACTGCCTTACCAGGTTGGTTGGCCCTTTTCAGAAATCAACAGACTTCTAAGTTCAAAGTAGTATACCTAACGATTTATGTCAAAAACCATAGAAGCTAGAATTTTTTAAAAGAGATAACCAGTTTTTTTCCCTCAAATGAAAAACTGTATTCTTTCTTATCCAATGTAACTGTTTGAAACATGTTTTTGAATGTGTGTGTTCATTCTGTATGAAAATCTGTGCCAGACACCATGCAAAAAAATGAGGAGTCAAGCAATAGCAAAATTAGGCCATGGTTTGGTTTCCACAAACAGGAACTTCCCAGAAAAGGTAGGGTGATGATGGTGCTACTACAACGTGATCCTGTATGAGAAGTGTTTATTGTGAAGGAGTTACTGGAGACAAATATAACTTGCAGTTATCTACCAATTGATTTTTTTGTTAACTGTGTACACACACAGTGATGTCATTTAAAGAACTACTCATGAAGTTAGGGGCTTTCTTTAGTAAGCTCTTTCAGATGCTCCAGAAAGTGGAAGGATGCAGATATATGAGGGGGGACTCCCCAAAAATAGAATTATCTTCTACAGGGAGTACAGGGAGGGCCCCTTGTAGTAGAGGCTTACCCAGCTAGGGGAATGTTCTAGGAACCCATCTGTATCAGTGTACCAGCCGGTGGTGTTGTGAGAGGCTGCGTTTAGCTTCAGTGAATTTTTTTTAAAGACTCCTCGACACTTTTGCCTGTTTCACAATGGGTGATTTACCAGCACATCTGTCCACGCCCTCCTGAGGGTTCAGCAGGACCTCTTGCCCCACCCACCCATTTCACCCTTTCGTGCCCCATCAACGTTTTTGTTTCCCCTGATGAAAAAAGTCTTCAAAGAAAAACATTTTGCCAATGTGGAAGAGATGAAACAAAAAACGGCAGAAGCACTAAAAGGCATCAAAATCGGCAAGTTCTAAAACTGTTTTGAGCAGTGGAAGAAATGTCTTGACAGGTGGATTGCATCAAGTGGAGAGAACTTTGAAGATGACTGAAGTTTAAAGAATAGAAAGAATAAGAATAGAAAGAATAAAGAATAAGAAAGAATAAATACACAATTTTTTATAAGTAAATTCTGGGTTTTTTGGGTCCCATGTTCCAAAGATAAAAATGCAGTTTTATTTGATACAGTCATTTGGAAGTTGTTTAAAATTTGGATAGGAATGTATTTATACCTGTTTAGCCTATTATTTTTCTTTGATTAAGACCTGCAATTCAATGAGGAATCCAGATCTTCAAGTTGCTTTAGAAATTATAAAGCCAGTTTAAGTTTTTCAGTCAATTTCTTTTTATTATTTAAATACATTTTAGTCTATTTTGAAAGGAAACAAATTGGTTATGCATAATTTGATTTAGGTATCTACACTAATAAATAATTTTGTATAATTTTTCTGAGATACCTCTGCCAGTTGAATTTCTGAAAAGTGTAATGTGACTTTTGGTACTCTCATATGAACCAAGTAATTAAGTAATGTTTTTGTCTTTTTTTCTTTTGCTTCACTTAGATACGGAGAAAATGAGATATTACCAGAATACATCAAACAGAAATTACAGTGTCTTTCTTCCATCCTTGTGATGTTTTCTAATCCAACTTCTAGTTTTCACTGATTAAAGCTCCTTTTAGATATATATTTAATAAATAATGCTTTTGTTGGCTTTCAAGGAAAGTGACTTTTTCTTATTTAAAATAACTTCTTTCAGAAAGCCTCTCTATATAAAGAGAATTTTAATCTGTACCATAGTGGATGCATTCCAATGAGAGAACAAAGCAGAATGAAACTTAAGTCACTTACAAAATGCAGTAGTCATGGATTCAAATAGGACACCTAACTTTTAACACATATACCCTGAAACTTGCTGTGTTCATATATTTGTATTGAACAGTCTTTTAAAAGCAAAAATATAGTGTGTGGTGTATCTGTGCTTTTGTTGTTGTTTTCCCTACTTCTCAGACATGTTGAATCATGAACAAAACATGGAGTTTTTAAATTTTTAAACATGTAAATAATGTATATTTATGTTATACGTAACATATGTAAACATGTATATATTTGTTTTATATTTATTTTTGTAGTACCGGTTTCTGGTGAAGCATTTCTGCCGATGCATTTTATATAAAAGTGATAATAATAAATACTACTATAAGTTACTTCATCTTTTGATTTATTTAATTACTTATTGTAAAATAAGTTACTAGTAAACTTATTTTTAAGTTTTGTTACCTGTTTGTTTAGAAGGAGCCAATTAAATTTTAAAAATTAATTTTGCAGATGGTAAATACAGTTTTTCTACCCTTACCTGAAAATATGTGTGTATTTTAACACTGAAGAACTTAATGCAGTTAAGTTACAAGGAATGCTTAATAGTGGGACATTCGTGCTTAAATATGATACAGACTGTTTGGTGCTTCCTGCTGGTTTTTATAATCAGGGAGATTGTGGAGGCCGTTCCATTAAGTTGATATGAATACCCAGTGACCCATTTATTCAACACTGTTTTGAAGCTTTTTGCCTAAGGCAATGAGAAAAATAGTTTGCAACATAAATCGCAAAGTTAACATTAATAAGAAAAAGACAAATAACCCAGCAGAAATCTGGACAAATGATGTGAACAGATGCTTCACAAAGGAAATCCATATGGTGACTCTGAAGGATATATGCTCAACATTTATAGTTAAAGAAATGCAAAACTAAAACAAAATCATTTCCTTTTATCAGAGATAGATTAAAAATAATAAATGAGCAGGGCATTCTCATGTATTGTTGATTAAAGTATAAATGATAATCTAATAGATATTTGGCAGTATCTATTAGAATTAACATATGTTAATACATTGGTAACCCAACTTTGGCAAAGAAAATTATATAGGCCTTTCTCTTAGGGGGAAAAAAAAACCCAGCAGAAAGAAGAGTTTCCCTTTAAAAATGAAAATAATTAAAAGAATTCCTAGCTAAATTTTGAAGGCTAAGAACTCACATATTTTGCTTTGACAGAATTTAGGTATATATTTTACAGTATCTTTTGGTCTTAATGTGTCTTTATGTTTCAGGTATTTCTCTAATACATAACACATAGCTAAATTTTGTTTTTTAATTCAATCTGATAACCTCGTTTGTTCGCACTGTCATTTGTATTTTACTGTTTGACATTGCATTTCTGTTACATTGATGTTTACCAACTTTTGTGCTTTCTACCTCAGTTTTCTTTTTTTCCTTTCCTGCCTTTAATCCCTTTGATTCTTTTTACCAGTTTTCTTCAGGAGAGGGGTATGGTGGTAGTTCATCAGCAGGTAGTGTTTACAGGAGTACGACTGTGACGATATTCACAACTGAACATACCCGTGTGCTTCGTGCTGCATCAGCCTGGAGCCACGTGATGCTCACCCACTTTTAATGCTAAGAGTGCTCAGTGGGTCCAGGTGCTGTCAGTCTCATCCCTCCCTCAGAAAGTCCCTCACTCATTTTTTGCCTAGTTTTAGCATTCGTTGATGCTTGTTTGCCTGAAGCTGCTATTCCACTAGAGGTTGCCTAATTCTATTATTCTATTTGTATTTATTAGCTTGGATTACGCTCTAAAAACTAACTCATCAATATTTGACTACCCTGAAGTTTAGGTACAGGAAAGAGAATCGATGCTTGAGTCTTTATTTTCTAGTTTTCAGAACAAAGAATTAAAGCTCTAGCAACCTCCAAAGGTGACCAAGGAGTTTATTTTTAGTATCATTATGAACTCAGATTTTTACACACTTGATGTGTTTAAATAAATAGCACGTGTTGCCAGTGCTTTCACTGCTCTATTTTTGGCCCATAAGAGTCCCTTTATTTGACTGTCCTTTGGCAAGACTCTAGGCTTCGACAGCGCCCTTGCTTTCTGGCACATGAAGTCTCGTTTCTACCGTGAGCCCAGGATTCTGCGTAGAGACCATGTCACCTTAAATGCTTTCCCATTTCTCCTAAAGCACAGAATATTTACCATGGTGTAGTACCCTGCTCCCTGATGCGACTTCACAAGCGCATTATCTTTGTCCGTGGGAAACTGATCCCTTCAGTGCGTGAGTTACTAGCAGGGCCTGCGTGGCCTGGGGAAGCTGGGTACGAGCTGCTTCGTCTGTTTCCCCCGATGAGGCCTGTAACCCTTCCCGGTTGCAGTGGCAGGAAAACAGCTGAGAGATGCCGGAGTAGTGGATAAACAGTGTATTTGTCAGCTCAGCAAACCTTTCCTTGGTGAAGCACCCCCCTTCGCTTCTAATTGTAAGTCTGTTTCGTCCATGCGATTGAGACGGGCCTCACAGGGTTCCTCCCGTCCTCCGTCCTCCTCCTCCCCCACGCAGACTGAACGCATGACCCAGGCCCGGCTCAGTGGGGGTCCATCCTCTGCCCAGGCCCAGTCCGTTCCGGGACGGGGATGGGAGCTAAACGTGGCTACCTGGAGCCTTTTCTGATCCTTCTGCCCTAGCCATTTTTCTCAGATTGTGAGCTATCCAGACAGGTTCCTCTGACTTTCCTGTTCAGGACAGATCCCCTGTTCTCCACCCTTAGAGCCCCTATACCGCTCTCCGTCGCCCTTCCCTCGAGCAGAGTCCTCTGGGTGACCGTCTGGCGGACGTCCAACTGTCCGGCCCAGGGGCTGGCGTTCTGTTTGCTGCTGTTCCCAGCAGTGTCGTGGTGACTCAATATGCACTGGAGGTGTGAGTGAGAAACATTCTAGGGCATATGGTAGGGATATAATCATCTCTCTGTTAGAACGTGTACATTCACAAGGTAAAACACATTAAATTACAGATAAATCTGCAATAGTCAGAAATACCCAAAACATCCTCTTAAAATAATTTATTCTTGAGCAGATAGTTTATCCTTGTCAAAACAACAAATTACATACAGATTTATTTTACTTAGGCAAGAGAAAAGTTTTATACAAACTGGAGTTTATTTATAGATTTTTAACTGAAGTTTATTTTAAATATAGCCAAACTTAGGAAGGTAGCATGTTTTGTGAAATCATAAATCCCCACAAAATATGACAGTCACTCTTAACAAGTTTAGGTTTTAAAAACATCGTTTCTTAAATATATACTACTTTTAGGAGTTTTTCATACCTTTGGGCTTGCTATCATCTTTTTCTGTTTATATTCAACTTGCCCCACCTAACACCCCAACTAGTGATTTTTTCCTCAAACTTCACCTTGCTGCTCTCGTCAACCCCATGTTACTTCCTCATCTTTTGTGCCCCGGTGTGCACTGGTGGGTAATCCCCCAGAGAAGACCGTATTCTCGCTAAAAACATGGCGGTCATTTTTGTGAGTATAATTTGTTTGCATTATTATACATTTTTAGAAATTGAGAAGCCTTTCTATGTCATATTCTTGCATAGAAACAGGCTAATCATTGAACTAAGATAAAAGCCTGTCAATGGGCATCAAATTATATTTGTCAAATACTTATGCTAATCAGAGTCACTGGTACAGGTAACTTAATTTACAATTAGCAATTCATTACCTGTTACTGCAAACTGGGCTGTTTTCCTCACTATGAAAAACATAGTGGTTAAGAGTGTGGCTCTGAAGACAGACTGTTACTTAGACAAGTACTTTAGCTTTTCTGTGCCTCTGTTCCTTCACCTGTAAAATGGAAATCATAATACCTTTAATCTATAAAACTGAGAATTAAACTGTACCTTACACATTACCTGGGATATGAACTCTATAAATGTTCATTGTTACCATTTTTTATCATTATCATTATTTCTACCATGCACAGCACCCACACCAAGGGTGGATTACAGCACCCCGAAAACGTAAGACAGGAGGAGCTGTGAAACATCAGGGAAGAGATCCCAGGACGTGACCCAACAGCCAGAAAACTGGCTAGCGCTCTGATAAATCTAGCTGAAGCAGGGTCTTGCTACGGGAGGTGGAGAGGAGTGAAAACAATCTCTGAAATGCTATCACAGGATTTCTGCCAGGCTCAGCCTTCTATTACAGCTGAAGACGTTGGATTGAAGAGACAGCAAACCTCAGTGGCAAAAAAGCTGAAACAATCCAATAAGAAAATGGGCAGAGGATCTCAAAAGGCATTTGCCAAAGGAAGACACACGAATGGCCAACAGGTACGTTCAAAAGGTGCTCCACATCACTAATCCGCGTGGAAATGCCAATCAAAACCGTATGAAATACCACCTCACACCTGTTTCTTGGTGGGAGTGTGGTCTGTATACATACATACATACTAATACACCATGGAACATCACTCCGTTAAGGAAGCAGATCCATTTGCGATGACAGGGATGGACCCGGGGGCACTATGCTAGGGGTGGTATCACTGGTCCGTGGGGTCTCAAGGAGCCGCATGGCTGAGGCAGAGAGCCGTATGACGGCTGCCAGGTCTGGGGCTGGAGGGAAGGTGGAGGCGCTGGTCAGAGAGGGCAGGCTAGCCGTGATGGAGTGCCCGAGTTCTGGGGACCTCAGAACAGCCTGGAGATTACAGCTAGTAATACTGCATTACACAACTTCAACGCTGCTAACAGAGTAGATATTACATGTTCTCACCACAAAAAGGAAATGGATGTGATGTGATGTGATAGAGGTATTCGCTAATGCTATGATAATCATTTTACAGTCTGTAAGCGTATCCAATCAACATGTACAGCTTAGCCTCACACAATGCTGCATGTCAACTGTATCTCCATAAAGCTGGAGACAGACAGACAGAAGATACAGGGAGAACAGACCCATCTACAAGCCGAGGAGAGAGGCCTCAGAAGAAACCAGCCCTGCCAATACTCGGTCTTGGACATCCTACCTCCCGAACTGTGAGAAATAGATTTCTGTCGTTCAAGCCAAAAACAAAACAAAACAAATTCAGTACCAGAAACTCAGTATAAAGTGCAGATCATAGTGTTTACTCTCAGATTTGAAAATATTTATAACTTACAGTAGAAAACATTTACAAAATACTTAGAACCAGTGTTACTTTTTTTTTGGTAGCCCTGATCGTGCATGCACATCCTTCTACACTAGTTCTTTTTACCAGCACCCAGCTTACGTAGTGGTAGAGACGTGCACACACAGACCTTGTTCTTAAGCACACTCAGCAAACCGTGAGATGAAAACCATCTTGCCTGACTGCACTGGGGCCGCTGGGGGCCGTCCAAGTGTGAAGTTCTGCGGGTCTGAACAGCTGTGCAGACGGATGAAAACTGCTGTGTCTGCCCTGCCACGGCTAAGTGACGGGAAAGAAAAATAAATAAAGTGATCATTTTCCTCCAGAACTTAAGGAGGTGAAAATGCCAGTAATAATAAACAGTTTGCTGTTCAGTAGGTATATACAAAAACATACCTGGCTTGTGTTTCTAAAGTGAACTACTTATTAGCACTTGAAAGAAAAAAGTATCCCTACTAAAGGCAGTGAAATCCATCTTGATCTCTTCATCCTCTCTATTGCTAAAATAATGGAATCATTGTTACTCATCTACTAAAATTAGGGGTTACTTAGTGAGGTAAGACAGAAGGTGTATTAAAAATAACTTAAAGATGGTAAGGTGGGATATGTCAGTCATGGTAAGTGGAAAAATTAAAGAGGCATGATATTTGTTTCATAAAGAAACTTGATAGAATAGAGGATACATTTTTAAATCAAAAGTAGCTATCTTTGAATAAAAGCTATTTAGGTAAACAATTTCTATAATTTCATCATGTTATAGGTAGTTCTTTCAAAACTCTACTATGGTTTCACTGCATATATGTTTTCGTTACTTTAAATGACGCCTCTGCAGTTTGAACTAAAAATACAATTTCACATTTGTAGGCCATTGTTCATTCACTCATGAGTTCATGGAACCCCCAAAAGGGTGCTGAATGAAGAATATTTCTTTTTTGAGAAAAAGAAATTATGATCCAGAATGTTTTTGTACCTTACTATTCACAATTACTCGTAGAGCTCCCTGTGTTATTCAACATATGTTCCTGCCATTCAGAATGCACGGCACCCGAAGCCAGGCTTCTGAGACCGACCCAGAGCACTCACTGTCTAGCAGAGCCTCAGTAAGGAAGCCCCACGCAGCAAGCTCTCCCATGGCAGTGTCTGTCAGCCGGGCTACTCTTGAATGTTTCCGTGCCTTACGGAAAAAGCAACGAGTCTCCTGTAAACCACTCCCAGGAGTGTGATGGTGAGCACCACGATTCCACAGACAAGGCTGAAGGCCCATCGTGGGCCCCAGGACGTGTACACTTGGCTGATGTACACAGGCCCGAGGATCCGCGCGGCACTTCCTGAAGCCGTTAACCAGCCCATGTAGACACCCTGCGAGATGGGGGGTGGGGGTGGGGAGAGAAGCAGGTTGATGTTCAGGTTTAGTTACATTTTAAAAAGGGTGATGCTGTGGGAAACTCACAGGAAACACTTTCTCCATCTTTTATTTGTGAATTAAACATAAAATGACTTGCTGTAAATAGAGCAAATAATGAACAATAAGCTTATCTGATAGAGTCAGGTTAGGAAAAATAAAACTAGTGGAAAGGAACAAAATACCTGCTGAAGCCCTGGGAACAACAGAATTTATTAATTTACCTTTTAAGGCATTTATTTTGTACTTGCTATCTTCCACGCACTGTGTTAGCTGCTTTACATGTGTTGTTTCCAGTGTTCACAAATGCCCATGGCATCACCCCACTTAATGAATGAGGGAGCCGAAGCTCAGAAAATCCAAGGGACTCTGACAAGAGGCTTGAAGCCATGTTTGCCTGACCCCACTGGACCACCTTCCACTACCCCACGTGCCGCTCCTCCAGTTACCAAACCCGAGACTGCAACCCGTACGGGCTGCCCGGGAGTGTGCGGTGCGGCATTACTCTCAACCGTGGTTTCCCAACTGCCGCCTAGTTTAAGAATGAGTTTCAGAGCTTGATGCTTCAGGTATTTTTTTCTGTGAAAATGATTTTGAGCTCATAATCTCTGAGTTCAAGAGATCTCTAAGTTCTTAGAGTACTTTTTGTTCAGTGCCAGCATACCAGTCCTGTAAGTACTTTTAAAACGCTGTGGGCTTTTTAAAAATTCAAAATGCTAAACATAATTTTTAAAAATCCCCCCCATCAGTCTGTGTGCACACGGAGAATGGTGGCACAGAATGTGGGTGCTTCCAAGCATATTTCCCTTCACTGCAGTGCCAGGGCAGCGGGCTCACCTGAGGCTGCGGTCCCAGAAGTTTCGAATACAGGGTGTAGGACATGACATTGCAGGATGGGTAGCCCATCCCAATGAGCACCGCCGACGTGAAGAGCTGGGCCAGGTGGATCACGGGCGTGTAGAGGCACCAGGCTTGTTCAACTGGGCAGCCGGTTGGCTCTCCACTGGGGTCGCTTGGAGACTTCCAAAGAGCAATCACCATTTCCCCAAATGTGGTATTAGGGATTGAACTATTATGCAAATCTGTAAAAACAAATTGAGTGCAGTGTGTTACCTATTAATTTTAGGCGAATAACAGAGGCTAGCACTGTAGAATTACGTGCGGCTGTACCTTCCCACTGCACTTTGGGAAGCTGACTCCCCCACGGTAACAGGACAAAGAAGCCAGCGCACACGACGACGAGTCCTCCCAGGAGAAGAGCACGCTCGCCGACCCTGTTCAAGAACAGGAACTCCGTGATTTCAAAATGAAACAGCGCCTAGCATCACACAGTTCGTTCCTTTTATCATTTTAAAAACTGTAAATAAAATAGTTTTATACTTTTAGTGATATACCAATTAATATGAATGCTAACTATAACTTCTTCCCACTAAAAGGAACCAGTCTTCTAAAAACCAGCTCGTTCCAGGTCTGGGACACAGTCTGTAAGATGAGCCCGGGGCGCCAGTGACCGACCACTGGGCCACGATGAAAGGACTCGGAGCCAGCCGGGAGAAGCCGGCCCAAACCACGACACCGTGAACACCAGAAACAGCAGTAATGACAACGGACGGAAACACACAAAAATGTTACCGTCTATGAATTCACACTATACGGACGTAAACTACTACGTTTGGTCTCTTCTAGAGGATGCTGGGGAACCAACTCTATTTTCAAAGTCAGTTACTAAGATAAAAGGAAAGAAATCACCCTGTCTTTCCTATACATACTATACGTCAGGGTAACCAAATAGTTGGTGACAGGAATGTTCTCTTTATGGAAAATGTTATGGGAGATAAATAAATAAATAGAATTGAAATTTCCGCATTTTGCAGTGACCTATTAATGAATTAATAGGACCTAACAAATGTCATGGGCCACTAACATGATTAAAAGATAAAGAAAACATGGCATTTCTCCTGATGTAAGCATATAACACCACCTACAGAACATTCCTGCCAAGAAAAACTGAACTCAAATCTCATCAAGCTTTTAGATCGAAGTACCAATTTGGGGGAAATATATTAGATACAGGAAAGTGGTTTTGTTTTTTTTTTAAATATCACAGGAATTCAACCAGTGAGATCCGCAATGTGGAAAACTACCAACATCCTGGATTCTTCAATTTGCAAAGGAAAAAGAGCTCAGTGGAAAAGAAACAGATGAAAAGAAACTTAAGATACTCAAGAGCTTCAGTCAAGTGAGTAAGCTGTGAAACCAACAAAAAACAAAAAAAAAAAGTTGAAACAGTAGAGAAAATTTGCATGCTCGTGGATATTTGATTATATTTAAAGTCACGTAATTTTTTGGATGTGATACTGTCATCATCAACTTCTAGAGAAACACACTGAAATGTTTATGGAAGACATGGAGTGATGCTGGGATGGACTTCGAAGGAATCCAGGTGTAGGGGACAGGGAGTGTGCAGTGGGTGGAGGTACAGATGAATCGAGGTTATCCAAGGGTTTATCACTGCCGAAGCTGGGTAATGGGTATTAGAGATTCAGCACATGATGCTCTCCACACCTCTGGATTCGTTAGAAATTCTTCATAATAAAAGTGAAATATACAAACTAGACCAAAAGCTTCTTAAAACAAACCCAGCCCTGGCCAGGTGACTCAGTCAGAGCATCATCTGTACACCAAAAAGGTTGTGGGTTCAATCCCTTGTCGGGGCGGATACAGGAGGCAACCTATCAATGTGTCTTTCTTTGTCCCCCCGCCCCTAAACCCCACACAAATCAATGAACCTATACTCGGGTGAGGATTAAGAAAAAAAGAAATCCAAACACTTCCCATCATGCTCAGAACACCTCTGGGCTCCACATCGTTCCCGCCTGATCTACTGTATTTCTCTGACTCTGCTCTGGCAACACTGGCCCTCCTGCTTGTCCCTTAGACATGCAAAGCCCGGTCTTAGTCTAGGGGAGGAGAGTCCTAGGCCACTGCAAGGCTGCTCTCTGACTGCACTGAGGTCTCCGCTAGGATGTAACCTCCTCACGCATGCCCTCCTCGAGCGCTCTGTCAAAGGCCACTTTCCCTCTCTCCTACCCCTGCCCCCGCTCCCCCGTCTCTTCTGTTCTGCTCCTCTGCAGAGCACTTAGCACTGCCTGACTTCCCCTGTGTACTGGCTTTCCCCCCAGTAGAATCCAAGCTCTTTGAAGGAATGGAATTGGACAATCGGTAAGAATGCCAGTTAGCAGGACCACTCTACTTCTGCAGCAAGATGTAATGCATCCGCTACTGTGTAACTCTGAATATGAGTCTCTGTCTACAGCTGCATCTTGGCCCTCCACCTGGCTCTACAAGAATCTTCATGGCATCCCCCACACACCTAACTCTACACACTAACTCAACATTCGTTCACTGATGTTAAAACTTTATTAGAGTTCTAAAGTATTCAAGTATTTTAGGAATAATTAAGCTGTTAGAACTGTCTAAATTCATCTACTAATGTCCCACCCCAGATTATATGAATGAACTAAATTTTATACTTGTATTTCCCCCCAAAACGTGTTCTTTACCGTTGTACTTTGACAAAATGCTTCTTTAGAAAAAGTGCTCTGTGGTCAAAGTTAAAAGTAACTTTTAGAAATGCTACATGCTGTATTTGTCACGCTGGTGATAGAATATGTATATACTGAAGATTTATAAGTTTTAGAGTAAAGACGTTTAGTAATTTTAACCAGAATTTTCCAATTTAACCCCTGAATCTTTGTTGTTTAATATATTACCATACAGCAGAACAATATTTTATGAAATAGTTTTAGAACACTTTAAGTAAAATTACAAATGCTACATTAGAAGACAATTATTCACTTTGTAAATATCTTGCTTTACTAAATATGCCATATGGTATAGAAATACGCTCTCTTAATGAACCTCAAATCTTTTTTCAAATTTCAAGAACTAAAAATAGAAAAGCTTTAAATTATTTTACTAACACATTCATTTACATTGTCAAATGTTTCATGTTTCACTTTTAAAATACAAACTTGGAACAAAACGTAAGACATATAACTTACTTTTTGGAAAGTAATTTAATCCCCATGAAAACAACAATGGCCTCAACTCCAAGAGCAGCAAGAATTATCCCATCATATAACACAGCTTGTTCCCGAGTCCAGGCATACATATCCATTGTTAATGGAGTAAGGATGCTGAGAAAAACAAAAAAGAAATTATTTTATTTAAATCACAGTCATTGTTACTTAAAGTTGATCCAGAAGCTTTAATAATGCCATCAACACGTTTAAGAATTTGTATCCCTTTTAACAATAAACCTAGATTAAACAAAAATTTTTACACATTTTTTAGCACATTTTTAAAAAATTCTCACCCAAGTTGATATTTATTGATTTGAGAGAGAGAGGAATGGAGAGTGAGCGAGAGAAACATCCATCAGTTAACTTCCAGGACCAAGGGTCCCTGACCAAGGATTGAACCCACAACCCTTTGGTGTTCAGAGGACACCCTAACCAACTGAGCTGCCCAGACAGGGTTTTGGGCACATTTTGGTGTTATATGCACAAACTCCTAATTTCAGTGTTAGTGTTTTTATTCTTTAACATTTAATTATAAAGTAATATATCTACATTACAAAAGTCTGGTAAACAAAAAAAATAAGACCAACCAAAACTACCACTCTACTATAACTAAATAATCCTGGTTACATTTTGGTTTAAATTGGTCTCTCTTCAATGAAATTATGTTACTATTATTAGGTTATTAGAATCGTCAGGGATTCGTTTTCTTTTCCTCAGTCTCTTTCATCCCTATCTTTGTGTGTATTTTTCACCCTACCTCTGAATGTCTCTCTTCCTTGACTGTCTCCTTCCTTGCCAATCTTCTCTTCCTACTTTGACTCTTTTGTTAACTAGCTACAAAATGGAATTGAAATGTATTTAAAATATCATTCTTTTTTTAAGGATATTACCATTTTTTAATTTTAAAGTAAGATGAGCGATATGAAACATAGTTTGGCTGTTTCCCAATGAGTTAAACACCAAGTTACCATATGATCCAGCAGTTCCACTTCTGGATACGCACCTAGAGAACTGAAAGAAGAGACTCGAACAGACACTTGCACACCAGTGTACACTGCAGCACTATTCGCAGTAACCAAAAGATAGACATAACCCAAATGTCCATTGGCAGATGAGTGGATTAACAAAGCTGGCATATACATACCATGGAACATTATTCAGCCATAAAAATTCTGACACATGCAACAACATGGGTGAACCTTGTAAACATCATAATGAGTGAAATAAGGAAGACACTCAAGGACAAGTGTTGTGCCTTCCACTTACATGAGGCATCTCACACAGGCAAATTCAGAGAGAAAAGGTAGAAAACAGGTTCCCAGGGGCTGGGTGAGGGGGAGTGGAGACTTATTGTTTCATGGGTGCAGAGCTTCTGTCTATAATCCTGAGAAGGTTCTGGAAATCGATAGTGGTGATGGTTGCACAACACAGTGGATATACTTAATGCCATTGTACATAAGTATGTACAATTAAAAGTAGTTAAGATGTAAATTTTGTTATGTATATTCTATAATTTTTAATGTCCAAAAAGTCAGATAAGCTGAAACTTTCATTTATGTCAATAATTTTAAAAATTTAAAAAAAATCAAGTGAATCCACATGGACAAGCCTAAAAATGTGACAGTGTATTGATAAGGGAATAACCGAATTGTCAAATGATAGTATCACATATTCTACATTGGTTTAATACACATTAACACCCCCCAATGCTTACAGAAAAAGTGCTCAGAAAAAAAACACTGAAATATTAGTGGTGATTACCTCCAGGGAAAGGAGTAAGGGTTGAAATATAGTTATAGTATTTAGGATAGTTACAAGAATGTACTATATTTTATAATGGAAAGGCATTTTTTTTAAAAGCTGTATGATAACTAAAGTCAATAAAGCCTACACAGGCAGAGATTTTGAGATGCACTCATTTTTCTCAGGATCGGGGCTTAAATAGAGTTAAAATTGCCAGAGTACAGCCCACATCCATATGTAGGGAGTTACTCAGCTTAAAGTTTAGTCATGACAAATTGAAGTTTTATCATTGTATTTATCATAAAACTCAGAAGAAAGGGAGAAGGACTAATGAAACATTCCTTTAAAAGGAAGTAAGGTTATAGACAGAATTAACTACATTTAAATTAAAAAACATAAAAGTACTTTTTACATCATGACGAGAAAAATATATCTTCCATAAAGTTTTAGAGAACATCTATGTGCCTGGGTAATACTGCATCAAGAAATACAAGTGTTTACATAATCTGATTTCGATGAAGAGAACAAAACTTACGTTTCAAAAAGGGCAAAGATAAACAGGACCACGAAAAACAGAACATTGGTGGTCACAACAGCAACTTGGTCAATATTTCCTTGGGGAACCTGAACTTCATCTGTACTTGCTAGAGGGAACAGGAAAGAAACTGTATTACCTCCATGTGTTATTTTTATTATCACACAAAGTAGAAATGATATGTAGCAAATTCTATGACTAAACATTTCAAATCATTTTTAGGCTTCAAAACAGTCTAAAAAGTAATGGAATTTTTATGACAGAAATAACTTTTAAACATTTTTATTTATTTTCTTTTTAAAGAGAGAGGAATAGAGGGAGAAAATGGGGGAGAGAAACATCAGTAATGTGAGAGATACATCAATGGGTTCCCTCTCACACACCCCCTACTGGGGACCTGCCCACAACTCAGACACGTGTCCTCTCTGGGAATCAAACCGGCGACCTTTCACTTCGCAGCCTGGCGCTTAATCCACTGAGCCATACCAGCCTTTAAAAGTAAAGTAACTTTTCCCAGGAAATACACTTTACTTCTTTTATCTATAGGAGATACTCTGTCTATCTGATGTCTCTCAATCCCAAAGAGGAATGTATTTAACAGAATTCTATAAAATAACCTCGTACTAAATACATTTGCTTTAAATTTATATTGCATGTTTTTTTCTTTTTTTATCTTACCTAAATCTTAAATTTATGAGGATTTCATGAGAGCTGAAATAGTTTATTAAATTAGTTCTCAATTCTATGATTCAATGAATATATATCTTATTTTGAATTTCAATGGTATGTGAAATTAGTACTAGTAAATATCTTTATGTGATTAATACAATTTTTGAAGTCCTTATGTATTTGTATTTTTGTAAAGAAATATATTTTGCAGAGAACCACTAAGTTAGGATGGTTATTCTAAATTAGGAAGACAAAAATGAGGGTATTGACTTACCTTGAACAATGTAGTTAAGCTACACACTCAGTACAAACTATTCCTGATGTAACTGGAGAAGCATGAAGCCAAACTATTGGGGAGTTCCTTCTCCAATAATAAATAAGAATTGGAAATAGTCTGCTATCCTTGGGGGCAGGTAAGCAAGCAGCGTGGACACTGAAATAGGGTCATGACCTCCCCTCCTACTCACACAAAGAAAACTGTAGGAGATTGGCTCTTTACAAACAAGACAGAGTGGTTTTTAACAATGGTTTTAACCCTGCCAATCGTGAACACCTAATAGCTGATATGAGTGTGCCTTTTTTTAAAAAATCAATTTAGGTAACTGTGAACTTTGAAGATCTGCCCTCAATCACTGTATTGTCCTCAGAAGTGAAATCCAACTAAATACCAAATAGGATCTTAGAAACACTCTGGTAACGTTACAATACTTAGTCGAACAAGTTAATAGTACCTTCTTCAAAATTAGTATTTTTACACTGTCGTCCTGAGTCATCCACACGATGTTCTCTTAAAAAGAAAAAACAAAAATATTGTATCCATGGTCGTGTGATAGAAAAATGGTTTAAATTTATTACAGGCATCTATTTTTTTCATATTCTGACACAGTTTCTTTTACTGGCTTCTAAGTAATGAAGTTATTATCAATGAGATATAGTGAATAAAATTTAAAAGATGCAAGTCATGAATCTAGTTATATCGTCATAAAATGTCTAAAAAATTCATCCAAAAGCATGTGTGATCTACCTTAATCAGTATGTGAAGCTTTATAGTGATTTTCAACTTTAGCTATAAATGTTTTTGGACTCTTGGAAAAAGCACCCCAAATAAATATAAAGTAATAACATTTTTATAGTTTTATGAAGTTTCTTGTGATAGATAAAAGACAGAGATACATTCAGATGAACTTCTATGTTTAAGGTTATTACTAATCATTACTGTACTTAAAATGTTGCTTTCATGCCATTTCCCTACTTAGAATCCCAGAGTCAGTAAATCAAGGAACAAACCTTAACTCTTCAAAGACCTCATAATCTGTTCTCATTTTTCAGATCATCTATTATTTTAGTTATGAATATGTGTATTAGCTAATCAGAAAATAAGAACACAACTACAGACATCAAATACCATAGGAATAATTATCCCAGGAATAATTATCTACACAGATATGCATACAGTAGTGCATAAGTAATGATAGTGCTTATTTAATTTCACAAGCTACAGAAGTAGTTTTATCACTTCTATCTACCTACCTTAATATAATAAGGATGAGAATAATATTTAAAACTCCCAGGAAGGCAGCGAGTAAAACTGGTGCTGTATACATGTTGATCTGAAGCTGTATCGTCTCCCATGTCACACCCTTTTCTCCAATGAGTGCGAAACAGGTCTGGAAAACTTATTAAAATAAAAGGTACACAGGTGAATTACTATATGGAAGACACAGACTAAACAAATGTGAAAGATGTTCACCACAAAACTGGAAGTCACATCATGAAATCACTCATCTATATCATGCATCTCAAAAGAGAGAAGAAAATTGGTTCTGGAAGAGGGGGCAAAAAATTTACTTTTTATTAAAGCACAGATATGCATACAGCACATAAACAATATACAGTACATCCGTGATATTAAAATTTTATGGCATGGAGTGATTAGGGGAAAAAATGTCCAGAAAGGCTCCTTAGGGGGTCGATAATGAAAAAAAGATGGAGAAACAATGATGTATATGAATTCTCAAAGGATTATATCTGAAGTTACTTGTCAGTAACTTTGGTTTTTTTCCAAGTATCCATAAGGAATATAAATTATACAATTTCTTCCATAAATCAATTATGAAAGTTTAATCAATTTTATTATAAGTATCATATTTTAAGTAAATATTGTGATATATTACTGTGTATATGATACTAAAATTATATACATTTAGTATTTTAAATCTGGTTTTGCAGCAAAAATCAGGTTGGAAGAATACTGGTTTGCTCTCTTGATTTAGATTCTGTAATCTGGCTCTTCAAAAAATTTAAACATAATTTTAAGGTGAGAGTTAAGTAAGATCCTGCGCCTAAAGCACCTAGAACAGCATCCAGGACATACCCAGTAAGTGTTAATGCTTGCTGATGTGGTTATTTTGGGGAAAGTCATCTAATCTTTTCAGGCTTACATTTACTCATCTATAATATAAAAACGTTTAACTGAAATAATCTTGAAAATACTTTTTAAGTGGCCAAAATATTTACTGGGAACTAAGTGTGTGGAAGGCACTGTGCTAGACACTGAGGGTAGAGTAGTAAATTACGAAGGCCCAGACTCTGGCTACGTATTTCGTATTATGGCAGTACATCCAATGCCACATTTGTATTTATATTTTACTTCAGAAAATTAAAATGGAACATTAGATAGTGATGAATGAATTAGATTCAAATCTGTTCAGCTTTTTCTTGGTTAAATAGAAAGAAATAATAGAAAATGGGGTGATGGTGCCACACTGTAAAGTAATGAAGCGATGATATTCATAGCTTCAATTTTCTTTTTTAAGAATTTTTATTCATTTATTTTTAGACAGAGGGGAAAGGAAAAAGAAAGGGAGAGAAACATCAATGTGTGGTTCTCTCGTGCACCCCCTGCTGAGGACCTGGCCCACAACCCAGGCATGTGCCCTGGCTGGGATTGAACCTGCGACCCTTTGGTTCGCAGACCAGCACTCAATCCACTGAGCCACACCAGCCAGTGCATAGCTTCAATTTTCAATGCATGAGGCAATTATACGGTTTCAATGTTATTGTAGGTGTAAAACTTACTAATTTCTCAATTCAGCAAAAAATAAAATTGGCCCTGGGGAAGTATTAAATATCATTCCTATTTTTTTATATTCAGCTAAAGAATGAAAGTTTTGGAAGAGGAAGAAAATACTAAGTCTTTTAAAAATTCTCTAATTTTCTTCAACCTTAGAAAAGTCTTTAAATGTACAGACAAAGACCAAAGGATAAAGAGCCTCCTATAACTTTCCTTAAATCCTTCAGTCAAAAAAAATTGTTTCTAAATAAATGGTAAAAGAGAGCAAGCTCTAGCAGATAGGTCAAACTAAATGATTATTTCACAGAACATATATTTTGGAGTCAGATAATGTTAGATTTGAACCTTAGATTTCCTCTCTACTATCTGGCTGGCATTGGAAATTTGCTTCGATTGTCTATGCCTCGGTGCCCTAATTGTAAAAAGGGACTAATATCACTTAACTTAGAAGACAGGAGTTAACATATACACAGGGTGGGGCAAACACAGGTTTACAGTTGTTCATGTGGAAAATAATTAATAAGTAATAATACAAGAATAAACTCTTTCTGCTTCACATACAACTGTAAACCAGCTTTCCCCCACCCTGTAAAGACCCTGGCTTCACTGATGGATCCAAAGACATCAGTTTCCCTCCCTTTCTCGTCAGCTGTGAGGTTTTATACTTGGATTTCATCTAACATTTCAACCACAAAAATGTTCCCAACTCAAATTTAAGTAATGAACTTGAAAAACACCTACCTGGCCCTAGAATAAAACCTAATGCTTGGCATGCACTTATGTTTGCCATGGAACTTGTCCTTTCCTGAAGAGAAGTAGCACCAGCAACATATGATCTAACAACTGCTACATTTCCTAAGAAAAGACACAATAAAAGAAAATATCCTTCAGCTGATAAAAGTCAACTTAATTTGTCTTTATACAGAGGAAATATTTACAGTATGATCATGCTTCCTCTTTGTGTTCATAAAGAGCTTATTAAGGAAGTACATCGCTTAATAGAAAATACTACTTGTAATATGAAAACACAGTTAAACATCTAAGTGATTAAAAATGGCATTTTAAGAACATTAAACTATTTTTCACCATTAAATACTGAGGAAGCGCTGAGTGAACGGCATACTACTGACTGCGACAACCATTTTTAAAAGATGTCACAAGCGGCATGCTTGGACCTGTACTACAAGAAAGAATAAGAAATCCACTAATAACTCAAAAATGTATTGAGCACTTACTATGTGCAAGAGACTCTGGTAGGGGCCACAGAATACTATGAACAAGTCAAACTGTCTCTAATTACAGATGTTTACTTTCTGATTGGTGAGAGAAGATTAAAAAAAAAAAACAGCAACAGCACAAAACAGCCTATAAGCAAGGGGCAGGGTGGCCTAAGAAAGTTCTTGGAAGACGTGAAACGAGCTAAATCTCGATGGAGGAAGAATGATGGGAACACGAGAGAGAAATTACAGGCAAAGGGAACATCCTGAGCAGAGGCAAAATGATAGGAAGACATCTTCACGTTGACAACCACAGACCTACATGTTGAGCCATGGGATAGGAGGCTGCGAAGGGGTGACATCGGGTGAGACTGGGCCATATATGCCAGGATGAATATGAATCTGACACAACTGAACATACACATACATACATACATACATACATATTACCTGCGCCGAACCCCACCAATCCACGAGCAGCCAACATGTAGTATTTGTTGTGAGAAGCTGGGACGTGCACATACGCATAGAGGCAGTTGGCCACCACCGAGATGAAGATGGAGACGACGAGAGGTTCTTTTCTTGGTCTATAATTAGACCACAGACCAAATACAGGCGAAGCTACCATCTGGCCAAGGCTAAAGGAAGCAATAACCCAGCCCAGAAAACTTGCATCAGCTGTCTCATCGATCTGCAGAAAAAAGTACAATGCTTTAAGAATTATCATCCAAGAAAAGTCAAGTTTAAAACGTTAATACATTTTTCTGATTGTGAAATATTTCCTATTTAAAAAAATAAAAACAATTCTATAAGTTTTAACACTATTATTTAAGTGATTTAGATTTCTGACATTACAATTAAATATGCCAACAATTCACTATACACAAGGAAGAATGCTTACAAAGCTTTCATTTTTTGGAATGATTACAGAAATACTTGGTTCATAAAAATATTGTTAAAAAAATTACATTAACATTATAAAAATAATATGCCACTCTTAATTCTTATAAATTCTTACAATAGTTTTCTTATCATAGAGTTTTCAGCCACCCTCTCCCTCTCTAACTTCTTCCCTCTGCACACTTACCCCTCTCCCAGTTCCAACTTCTGGCCACGGAGAACTCTGACTCTGGGCCTCTGCACAGGTTCCTCTACTGCCCTTCCCGCCAGCAACACCTTCTACTTCCTGGCCCCCACCTTGCCTTCAGGTAACCAATTCCTTAAACTTACCTCAGGTGTACTGATTTTGGGAAGTCTTCCAGGTTCTCTTTAGTTTGGACTAGCAATATCCCCCTCTCTCCCATGTCTCTGTCTGTCTCTCTCTCCCTCTCTCCCTCTCTCCCTCTCTCTCTCTCTCTCTCTCTCTCTCTCTCTCTTTGTGTGTGTGTGTGTGTGTGTGTGTCTCCCTATGTCTGTCTCCTCTCTCTCTCCCCCTCACCACGACACACATACTTTTAGACCTTTACCCACTTACGTGGTATGGTTATTATCTGTAAATGTGTTTGGTTTAGCACATGTTAGTGAAAGCTGGGTCTATATCTCTTCTAAAAAACAAACAAACAAAAAAGCACGCCCTGGTCAGCGGGGCTTGGTTGGAGCATCGTCCCGTAACCGAAAGGCTGCAGACTGAATTGTGGTCAGGGCACATACCTAGCTTTTGGGTTCAGTCCCCAGTCTGGGCGTGCTCAGGAGGCAACCAATGAATGCTTCTCTCTCTCTCTCATCGATCTTTCTCTCTCCCTTCCTCTCTTTCTAAAAGCAATGAAAAAAATGTCCTCGGGTAAGGATTAAAAAAAACTTGTTTTTTTAAAGTGCGTGGTATCATTGTATTTCAAAACATTCTTCTCTAAACAGATTAATCAACAAAGTCAAAGCTCTAGAAATCTTAATGCTTTTCTATGGGAGCGGAGATGAACAGAGGTGTTCCAAGCCCCCTCAACTATTTACTTAGAGATTACTGCTTATTCATTCAATTGGCGGTCACTGAGGCCTTCACTGTGACAACAGTGAACAGTTGCCAGCGTCAAGGAGTCCCCAGACCATGCTCTACTTATCTGGCTCTGAAAAGCCCTGTATTTGAGTAGCTGGGATTAAAAAAAAAAAATAGTATGCTGTTAATTGTTTATCTGTCAAATGAGGCTATCTTGGGGGATTTAGAATTATTTGAGGCTATACGTGTACAGCGCTTAGGGGCTATGGCAGCATGTAATATATTCTAAATGAATGCTACCTAGACCAAATAAAACCCCATATTTCTTAGCATAGTTTCTACTAATATGCCACTTTTATTGTTTTATTGTGACTCATGCGTGAACATTCCCACTGTCCCCCCAGGCCTATAACCTACCATTCCTATTCAAAATCTGGGTTTCAGTCCCACCTCTGGGAAACACGGACTAAAGAATCACTGCTGATGGCTGTCTATCAGCTAGGGCCAGGAGTACAGGTGAGATTTGTAGTGGTGCCAAATTCCTTTGACAGATAATTTACTCAGTATTGTTTGTTTTCTGTGGGTTTGGGGCCTAGCTTTTTATCCTTCTCAACAGATGGATAGCTAAGCTAAGTAATATGGTAACACACTATCCTCAAAAAGATACTAGCCTTAAATTAAGAATTAAACATTTTAAGGTAGTAGGTAACATAGCACTGTGGCTAAAAGTCAAATTTTGGTTTCAGATGGGCTTGGCTCTGCCATTTTGCAGCTGTGTGACCTTGGCAAGCTGCCTAACTCCTCTAATTTCTTCACCTGTCAAACAGGAGTGATAACTACGTTCCAGGGTTATTACGAAAATCAAAAGATAATTTAGCTAAGAGGTTTAGTATTGCAGCTGGCACCCAGTGAACTCTCAATATTATTATGAAATAACTTGAGAAAATTGTTTTTTTTTTATTTTTATTGATTGATTGATTTGAGAGAGAGAGAGAGAGGCGTTGATTTGTTGTTCCACTGATTTGTGCATTCATTGGTTCATTGGTTGATTCTTATATGTGCCCTGATCCGGGATGGAACCTGCAACCCTGGTGAATTAGGACAACGCTCTAACCAACTGAGCTACCCAACCAGGATGAGAAAATTAAGTTTTTTTGGTGAAAATGTTTTTTGTATTACTAAAGAACTAGTTTTTAAGTTCATGTACTCACTACATTTACCTTTGAAGAGCTTTCAAATATCTGGAGAAAGGAATGAACCTTTTCAAAATTTAACATATTGGACTGAGTTGATCTATTACAAATACCTTTGAGAAATCTGAGGTTAATTAGACTAGATACAGGGACCATACAAATCAAGAATTGCGATACGTAGAAATATATTTTCTGCAAAGTAGATGTTGCTCTAGCATTGTTATTGTTTCAACTCCAATAACTCTGTCAGTATGGAAAGAATTTTTAGTGTCATGGGTAATAATTTTTTAATTAAATTTCAAAATAGCAATGCAAATGTGACACTAAATCTAGTTTAGCTTTTTTTTTTTTTAATTGGGGAAGCAGTATTGATGGGCTGTAAAAGTATCCAATGAGTAGGTGTCTGCTCACGAGCATCTGCCTGGGACTCTCCAGGCACCACCCTGGTTTCCTGGCACAGTGCTCCTTTCATTTCCAGAGTGTTCTGGTTCGCAGAATGAAGCATACGATCTCCTAACTTATAAGCCTCTTTTGAGGAATTATTATCTTGATTTATTCTAGTAAAGATTAAATCATAGAATATCAGAGATTCTAGAACACTCTTAACTACGTAAGGTTAATAAAGCTACTGAAGAATAGATTGAAGTGTACAAACCTTTTGGAGATATGGCCATATTGACATTATCACAATAGAAAACCCTGTAAGAGGCAAACTGTGTTATTTATTCTTTCAATGTTTTCATTACTATTTATAGATTAATTTTTTTAACTATAGCATGGATTTCAAAATATAATTCTGAAATTAAAAATGTATGCCCCACAATGTCTACTTTATCAAACAATGTTGTTTCATGCTTGAAAATATAAGCATAGTTCCTAGTCACAATTAATATAATAAAAGCCGAGTACCTATTTTTTCTTACTCACAAGCCTTTACTATAAATGGAAATTACTGAAAGCTTTAGGTTTTTATAGCAGAATCTGTGTTGTTTGGGAGAAATGATTAACTGTAGGAAAGACTAGGGAGAAATAAACGATCATCTAAAGGGGGCAGTGGTTATAATGAACCAGGATACTTCAAAGATCCTTAAAAAAAATCATTATTTCTGTTAGGCTTTATTGATTGAGAACTAAAATGATAAACTCCAATGCTATTTATCAATTTTAAACATTAGGTGCATCCAGTCAAAATTTTTAAAAGTTTCTTTTTACAAAGAAGCTTTATTAAGGTACAATTTACACATACTATACAATTTCCCCATTTAAAGTATACAATTGAGTGATTTTTAGTATAATCACAAATATGTGCAAACATCACCCAAGTCGATTTTAGAATACTTTATGACCTCAGAAAGAAACCCTGAGCCCTTTAGCGATGACTCTGCCACCCTCTGGAACAGCTGAATTCACAGAGACTGAAAGGAGAATGGCAGTTCCCACAGGCTAGGAGGAGGGCAGAATGAGTTGTTGTTTAATGGGCAAAGAGTTTCAGTTCTGCAAGACGAAAATACTCTGGATATAGGTTACACAAACATACAGATACACTTAATACTTCTGATCTTAGAAATAGTTAAGGATGGTAAATCTTACGTGGTTTTTGCCACAATAAGTTTTTTTTAATTTAAATGATATTATAATGTATTTAATATCTAATGTATTTTTTAAATGATTTATTTTGGCCCTGGCTGGCATAGCTCAGTGGATTGAGCTCGGGCTGCGAACCAAAGCATCGCAGGTTCGATTCCCAGTCAGGGCACATGCCTGGGTTGCAGGCCATGGCCCCCAGCAACTGTACATTGATGTTTCTCTCTCTTTTTCTCCCTCCCTTCCCTCTCTAAAAACAAATAAATAAAATCTTTTAAAAAATTATTTATTTTGTAATACTTACCTACACTGCTGAGAAACATAGTAAGATACAGAATCCTAATAGATCTCCATCGGCTCTCATAATGCTCTTCAGTTTCTATAATACCCCATTCCCTAGGTGCAAAGAAGAAAGAAGGAGTACAAAGCTATCTCATTATATGCAGACCTTTCTGTGACACATTTCTATTTTCTCTCTCCTGAAGTCAGGAAAAGTGGTACAATAGAGGTATAATTTACAAATAATTGGTTTTTGCTATTACTAATCCTTCTATGAATAAGCTTTATTTCTTTGAATGTCCATGGGTTGTATTTATGCATCATTGCACAAATTTATTATTCAAAAGAATTTGAAATTTGTTAAACTGACAAAATGAATAAAAGTTTATAAAAATAAACCAAATAAACTAGCTCCAACAATTAGATCTCCCACGGGTGGGATATAAAACTCCTGAGTATTTAAAGATAATCCCTGCCATCATTATGACACGCTGTAGCTGATGACAGCAAATTAACTTTGCTGCAGGAAGCTGTTCTGACTGGGTACGCACAGTGAAACTAATGTAGAATGATACCTGGAAGGTGTGATGTGACCTAAGACATTCCAAGCCTGAGACCTGCTGGGACACTTGCCTTTGCTCTAACACAGATTCAGTCAGGGAGACCAGGGCCCCTGCAGACTGGGCTGATCACTCACTCCCACAGACCTGTGACCTGGACTCACTGGCATGCATGCGAACCAGACATCCTGCCTGTCAGGTGACACACATGAGTGTGTGCGCTCATTACCTTTTCACACGTGCAGAAAGAGTTAACAAATTTACCTCACTACAAGAATTATGCTTTCAAATAATTAAGACAAGCAAAATAGACAAAATACGTTCTTATGCTCCAAGACTATTTTCTAAAATAGACTTAAACTCAAATTAGTCTTCAAAAAAGAACTTTTTCTTCCAGTTGTGATATGACTGGGAGTGGTAGAGACAGAAGGAAAAAGGAGATAACATTTATTAGATCTACTATGTGCCAGGTATATTAAGTCATTTGCTGATACAATATATGTATATGAAGTTCTTAAAACTATATATACCATTACATAAAAAAGAAGAGATCTTTAGGCCTTATTCAAACTTCTATGTTCTAACTTCACACAATTCTATTGAGCTTAATATGCTTTAATATGATTTTCAAACCAGTTCCAAAGTAAAAGTCCCCCCCCAAAAAAAAGTCGGGAGAAGTTGCCGATAGTAACAAAAACAGGGGTTGCCGACAGGTAACAAAAACAGGATGCGGGACAGTCTGCCAGGAACAGAGTAGGCAAAAAACTAAAAAAGCAGACATAAAACTTTAAAAGTACAGCAGTGTAGAATAAATGAGCATCAAAGCAAATAGTCCAAAATGCCTCAATAGGCCAAGAACATCACTCTATTACATTACTTTAGCATTGATATTAACCGTAATCTCAAGATAAAATTTCATTACTTATATTACTTAGTAAATCGAGGACCTGAGAAATACATTTTCCAATGCATTTCAAAGTGGTTAAAATGAGGTTTGGTGCTTAAGAGGGACAAATGAGCAAAAATTAACGTAGACAGCTTAAATTTAACTGTGTACTAGTTGTTGATAAATGTTGATAAAAATAAAATGATGCTTAACTACGTTTTCCTAAAAGCAAAAATACATACTTGAACAGTGAGAGACAATTCTGAATTATTGTCCATGAAGGGGCAAAACAATCAAAATTACAAGGATCAAAATACACTTCATCTCTTAAATGCTAAAAATAAATAACTCTTCTATTTATATATTTAGCATAGGACAAAGATGAATCCATTTCAGACAGGTTTACTTGGCACAAAGAATCAGGCAATTAGGTCAATACTAAGGACTGTGTATTGAAGTAACAACTAAAACCATCATTTCGGAATTTTTGTGAATGTGCGAAGTGCTCAGCTCTGTAAAGGGCCGAATGCAGAAAGGCTTGGCGGCTGCACTTGAAGAATCAACGTCCGAGAGTCAGAGCGAGCGCCTCCGACACCTTCACCAGAATCCGCCGGCTCTCGTACGATTTCCGCCCTTTCTCGGAGGTGGGAGATCAACTTCCGGTCTGGCGCCCCCGACCTCCGGCTCCCGCCTCTCGGGCACAGCCTGGTGCTGCCCGGTACGAAGCCAGTCCCAAGAGCGCATGAAGGCTAGGGTGCTTTCCCCCCCACATCCGCTCACCTGCTTCCGGGTGTGCGGTCGCCTAAGAGTGGCTCCTGTTCAGACGGGGTCCCCAGGCCCGCCATACTTACAGCGCCCACAGGAGCTGTGAGGCTAACTCTCGCGACATCTACTGCTCTACAACCTACTCGGCCCGACCTGTCAAAACAATCCAGCCAAGTGCGCTTGCGCGCTCCGCGGCCAAAAGTGGGCGGAGCGCCCGAGGTCGGAGACGGGATCACGCGGGACGGGGGCGGGGCGTGAGGGCTCTGGGGCGGGGCTCTGTGTCCCAGTCCCCTTCCTTGGGTCCGTGTGGTCCTGTTCCGGGGAAAGCGTGGAGGAGAGCGGGGGAGGGCTTAGGGGCGTGCCCAAACGGCCACCCCGCCCAGGTTCTTGGATTTCCTTGGGCTCCTGTCTCAAGCCTGAGCTTCTGCGTTCCTGGAAAGGCTGTAGTGCCCACGGTGGGAGCTCGGACAGGAGGAGGGTCCCGGGGAGCACGGCAGTGGCGGTGTTGGGAAACTCGGCCGGCTGAACAGCGGGCACCCGCCGACCGGCCAGTGAGTAAGTCGCAGGTCCGGGCCCCGTTCCCCGAGCCTCGCGACGCGCGGCGTACGTGCCATTTGTCAGGGACTGGAGTCGCCCGGCCGGGCTGGACACCCGGGGGGCGTGCGCGCGGGGCGAGGCCGGTGTCCGGGGCGCGCACTGGCCGACCCAGGTGAGGTGGGTTGGCGCGCCGTCCTTTACCCACCCTGGAAGGTGGAAGTGGCTGCGCGCTCTTTTTCTCGCTAGGCTACCTGCGAGAAAAGGCAGCGTACCGGCAGTACCTAGTTAGGTCCTGGATGGGGCCCCGAAGATGGGGTCCAGCCCGGGTTAATCTCCTGACCCCTAAAGCCGCACCCCACCGCCGCCTGCGCCGGCTGGGGTCTTCCTCAAAGCCTGCCGCTGTAACCTAGGGTTAGAAAAGGCACAGCAGCAGCTTAGCAATGACCAGCTCTTTTCATCACAAGAAAAAAGACATTTTTAGAAAATATGTTCTGGGCCCCCTCCACCCCTTGCCCCAGCTGATCTTGATGCTGTGTCTTTCCTGCTGTTTACATATTAACATCTTACCCTTGCAAGTAGGCTTGTGAGCTAATTGGTAGCTGTGGTCAGGTGTGTTATAATTACTGTGTTAGCACTGTTATAGTACATTCTCATGTGATTTCATTTAATCACAACTGTCCTATGCCACTTTTCTATTTTAGGCAGAAGAAAGGTACAGAGAAGTTAGTAACTTACCCAGAGTCACTCGGTGTGGTGGTGGCAGCGTTGGACTCAAATTCAGTTCTTTTCTATCCATGTTTCTGAGCACTACCCTGTGCCGGGCCCCGTGCCAGTAATACGTTGCGTGGCGTGTGCCTTCAGTTCTGATGTTTGTCTTGTCTGTGACCTTCAGTGTATTCTGTCAGACACATTCTGCTGGTGAACAGTGAAACTTGATATGTGTTTTGTATTAGTTCAGAATTATCTCCTGAATCCAGAACTGACATTTTGTACTTGGATTCAGTCTTGCAAATTTGTTTGCAAGAAACATGTCAGATTCCTATGACTGGTTCCAAGAAAGTACATAGGTTAAAAAAAATTTTTTTTGCTATATTGTTGTTTTACTGTATTATCAACTTCTTTTTTAATCCCTGGAGTCTAGTATAGTGTATGGCACGTGTGCGTGTTTATACAAAGGGATTTTTAACCTCTATTGCACCAAGCGAAATGGTTGTTGCTCGTTGAATGAATGCTTATAGTTACTTCATTTCATCCCTATAATAATCATTGGAGTGGGGTTGTCTCAAGCATCCAAGGAATTTGAAAGCATGGAGATTAAGTAATATACCTAGGGTCACACAGCTAATAAGCAGCTAATAAGCAACAGAGCTACAATCCAAGAAATAGAGGACTTCTGACTGTAAAGCCTGTATTTTTCACCACCAGCCTTCCTGTGAAAAGAATGAAGAATCTTTTCCATTATCTCCTAAAATATATCAGAACAGGTATAAAATCAATTTTATATAAGCAAAATAATTTGCTATTATGTATCCAGTCAGGTATTATTCCCCTTTTATAAGTTAAGGTGGCTTACTCAAGGTCACACCGCTAGTGGAAGAACCCAGGCCTTCTGACTGTACTATTTTCCATTGCTGCCTCCAAGTGATGACTTTGGATCACAAAACCTCGTGGAGTGGAACGCACGTAAACCTGGTGAAATCTAAGTAAGCTCTGGGTATTGTACCAGTTTTGTTTTTTTTTAATGCAAGAAAAAATTATTTCTTAGGAACACACATAGCACCCAAACAAAGTAACCACTTTTGGAAACCTTTTTAAAAAATGTATTTTTAAAAGCCCGTGGAAAAGAGGAGCCAAGTTTGAAAAGAGATTAGATTATTTGCTGAATGTTTCACATAGGATGAGACAACCCACCCAATGGGTTTCCTTAGATGACTGCTTAAAATAGATACTCACCCCTGTAAACAAATGAACACATAAACTGCCAATTTTCCTACTCTTCTCCTGTATAAGACTAAAGCAATTAAATTTGATGAGGTAGGCTAGTAGATTTTAATAGTGGATATCTGGGATATCTAAACTCTTTTTCTGCTAACTTAAACTTATATTGAAAATAAGTAATTTAAAAGTAAAGGCATAAGATAAAAATTAGGTCTCTATTTTTGTGGTGTAAAATTGTACATGGTGGTCTTTTTCTAAAAACTCATTTGTGATTTTGAGATATGTATCAACTATATGAAGATAAAAGTCCAGAAAAAATTACGGTTGCATTGTTTAAATGCTTACGTACCAAAGCGTAGGAGATAAAAGTACTAGATGACATAGGGACTGCTGAGTGCCACTAGCAATAGAGCTCATTTTTAGGAAAGGCTTTTCATGCTTTGGCATAGAGCGAGAATTTCTATTTTTGTTTCACTTGCTTTTTCCCTGTCTCGTTGGCTGTATAAGTGCACAGGCAACAGGTATGTCAGTCTGTTCTGATACATACTTCAAGAACGGGTCCTGTTTCTGCGGAAGCTCACCAGTGTCAGACTGGCCTGATGCAGGGGCTTTAAGGGTCTGGTGTGGCTCCAGATGGTGCCTCCTAAGGTACATTGGAGTTTTCCTTACCCTGGTCTTGGGTTATAAAATCTTCCTGGTGGCACTGGATACTGGCTAGCCCTGCCCAGAAAGATCTGTATATTTACAGTGTCCCAGAAAACCTGGTCTTTATACATTGTTCTTGGGACCGAAATGAGATTTAAGAGGATCTGTGTAAGTTAAGTGTGTATCTGATTTGCTTTCTGTTCTTCCTGGTCAGTTGTTTGCTGGCGTGTAAATACAGCAAGGGGTGTGCTGGCTCTTGATAGGGAGTGCTGAGTCTGATGACCTCTGTTACATGGAATTAAAGTGGTTGGGAAGGCTTTCCCAGTACAGGGGTGAAAGTTAGAAATGATAAACAATTTTCTAGTAGTTTACAGAACATTTGAAGAGCTCATTGTTCTCAGGTTCTTTCCTATTTCTCTTATAACCTCCTACTTTTATCTTTGTCTTATTTCTTTTTATCTATTACCAACCTAGAAGAATATTGCCTAGAAAAATGGGATGGCTCATGACCAGTTCAGTACTTCTCACTGTAAAATATAAGTGCTGCAATTTGGGTTTGTTTTATTTTTTTAACACTGATATGGAATCTGCTTATTGCCATTGATGCTGTGGATGTTGCAAAGGAAGACATTGACCCCCTTCCTTTTCCTGCCACTGTAGAGAAAATAGACAGATATTAACCCCTCACTTATAGGCCTATAAGTGGCCTATAATACTTCAAAATGACAATGAAGTCCTATATTCTAATGACATGCCACTGTTCTACTGCAATTTAGTAAATGTGCACAAAAATGTATCAGTGATATTTTTTAACAATTCCAGAATGGTACAAGGCGTGAAATAATTAAAAGACCCATTCATGTCTCAGAATTGTCTTTCCTTATGCTATATTTTATGCTATAGAACCCCCGTGAATAGAGTTACATACCTAAATTTGTTTTTAAAAAAGGGGGGGTTGGCCCCATAATTGCAATGCAGAGCGCTCATACATAATTTTGGCAATTGGGTAAATTGTAAACTGTTCATTTTCACCCGGCATACTTCAGAACTCTGGCACTGATCACTCCCAGATCAATACCTCGGGAGGTAGTGCAGATCCCACAAGCCCAAGGGCCCAGTCCGCCAGGGGCCATTATTTCCGATGCCAGCCACACTTTGACTTGGCTGCAGATTTGGGGGTTCCTGTGTCTCCTGTGGATTGATAATTTGCTGGGACACTCAAATGATTACAGCTTTATTACAAAGGATACAATTTAGGAGTTCACTATACTTGGCTATAGTTGTTGCTATTTAAGTAAAAAAATTTTAAAAAGTGAAGTATAACTTAAAAGTGTGTAAGTCATAAGTAAAACTTGGTTCATTTTCACAAAATGAACAAGCTGTGTTTTATATGACAAGGATTACAGTTAAAGGTGCTGGCAAGGAGCAGGAAAGGCCACATTTTTAAAAAATCAAAATTTTTACGGTCTTCAGAGATTAATCAGACAGGTGGAAGCTATGCGGACACAAAAAGGGAGGTGTGAAAAAAAAAAGTGACGTGCTGAAACAATGTAGGGGCCTCTGGAGAACCTGTAAGCTAAATACATACCCTGACCAGGAATCAAACCCACAACCCTTTGGTGCAGAGGACAGCGCTCCAACCAACTGAGCCACCCGGCCAGGGCAATAGATAAGTATTCTTAAAGCTCACTGATGGAAAGGCAAGTTTCCATTTCTCATTTTTTAATTAGAATAACCCTGGAACCTGAATCAGGTTTTTCCTAAAAATCAAAACTACACCATTCGATTTGAAAAGACAGAGGTAAATATTAAAAAATAAAATGAACAAACGTTTTGGAGCTACTTGGGAAGGGGGACGAGGGGCACACAGGCAGTAGCACTGACTAGTCATCACTTTGCCTGCAGGGGAGTGTAGCAGGCAGTGTTTAGAGTAGTTACATCTGGAGCTGCGTGCCTGGGATCCGGTCCCAGTTCTGCCTCCCAGTTGCTGTGTGACCTCAGGTAAATCACCTGTCCTCTCTGTGCCTCAGTCTCCTCGTCTTAGGGTAATCGATCCTTCTTTATAAAGTTGCTGGAGGGTTTAAATGGGAATGTGTGTGTGTGTGTGTGTGTGTGTGTGTGTGTAGTTTTCTGAATGGTTCCTGGCAAATAATACAGTAATGTATAACTGTTAGCCACTGCATTTTTGTTTGTTCTTTCTCATTTTTTCTTCTGGCCACTACTATTATTATCCAACAAATATTGAGTATTCCTGTCAGTCTCTGTGCTGAGGATGGGAAGTCCCTGCACTCAAGGAACTGAGTTTAGTGAAGCTGAGGGCTCTATTTCATCTTTTCTATTTTCATCCCAGTTCTTCTATTCTGTATCTCGTGTCTTATTTCCAAAAGAATAAATGCAGGGTTCCTGGTTCCATCTCAGTATTTAATTATTCTTCCCAGCTCCATTGAGATATGATTGATACATGCTGTTGTATTAGTTTAAGGTGTATGTAAAATGATGATTGGATGTATGCATGTATGGTGAAATGATTACTACAGTAAGTTTAGTTAATTAAACTGAACTTGAAACTGTTTCCTTGTGGTGAGTACTATTAGGATCTATAAGATAAATAAGTGCTGGGGATATAATTTATAGCACAATCACTATAGTTAGCAGTACTGTATTATATATTTTAAAGTTGTTAAGAGAGTGGGTCAATCTTTAATTTTTACCTGATATTTAAAGAGACGGTTAGAAAACTGACCTGCTGCATAAAATAAAATATTTTAAAGTAATTTCAATTCTATTTCATAGATGTTTGTTTACTACTGATGGGTGTGAGCAAGTTAGATGTTCTATACCGGAGACTTCTCCTCACAAAACTTTTTATCAGAGGATGGGGAAGGCCAGAGGATCTTAAAAGGTAAGGGTTTTTTCTGAATGCTTATTCTGACTTTGATTTAGTAAACTTTTAAACTTTTATTTCGGCCATGGCCAGGTATCTCAGTTAGAGTATTGCCCCAATAGGTCAAGGTTGGAGGTTTGATCCCGAGAGCACATACAAGAATCAATCAATGAACGAACAAACAAGTAGAACAACAAATCAGTGTTTTTCTCTCTTTTTCTTTCTCCCTCTCTCTCTCTTCCTCTCCCTTCTTCTTCTCTCTGTCTCTCAAATCAATTTTAAAAAGAACAAAAATAAATAAAATTTTATTTCACTTTTAAAGTCCTTTGATATATATGAAAATTAAACATTAAACAATATAAAAATGAAATTATTTCCTTTTCTCTTTATTTCTCTTATTTTAACCCATATAAATTGAACTATTTTCAAAGTAATTTGGTTGTAAAAAAAAAATAAAGAGCTCTTAGAAACACAAACTAGATTTTTAACTTTAATATTTTTTTAATGATTTTATTTATTTATTTTGAGAGAGATGGGAAGGGAGGGAGAAAGAAACATCAGTGTGAGGTTACCTCTTGGGTGCCCCCTACTGGGGACCTGGCCTACTGCCCAGGCGTGTGCCCTGAGTGGGAATCAAACCTGCAACCCTTTGGTTCACAGGCTGGCACCCAATCTACTGAGTCATGCCAGCCAGGGCCTTAACTTTAATAATTTTTAAGTTGATTAGAGTTTCTAGGGACTGAGCGTTCTTGGGTAAATTGAATTTGTAGTGACTACAAAGTTAGGATATACTGTAGCTCATGGGAATATCTGGACTTAAGAAAATAAATTTTTAAATTCTGTGCCTGTAATTATGAGTCTTATACATGTTAATTACTTTCTGAACAATGATATTTCTCATATTTTTTATGAGGTGAAATGTCCAGCTTTCAAAAAATAAGAGCCTTATTTTTTCTTTGATGATTAAAACTAAATTTTAACATGTTTCATAAACTGGACTTGCTAATTTTTACTCAGTATTCATTAGTCTCAATATATGGATGTACTGAATTTTTTCCTTTTTCCTCTTACCATAACAGACTCTTTGAATTCAGAAAGATAATTGGAAATCGAGAAAAATGTCAGAATCTGGTTTCAAGTGATTATCCAGTGTACATCGATAAGGTATGCAAATAAAATAAATGGAATTATAGAAATTCTTGTTTAACATACATATGTGGCAAGAATAGATTGAATGTTAAGAGTATAGTAACAGTAAACATTAAAACATGAGTACAATATAGATTTTTCATTTAATATTTTAAAATGCTGTGTACGTTCTAACAAGATGCTTATAATGGCTATATTCATTTATATTTGAGAACATATACTTGCCTAAATATAAGAAAGAAAACATTTAGGGCTGGATCTTTTGAGCCTCATTTTTTATCTTTAAGTTTATAAGGGTTAAAGTAAATTATTCAACACTTCAGAAGAAGTGGGAGTAACTCAGGGACATACTCTGGTTGGAGAATCACTACGTGAGATGTTACTAGCAAAAACAACTGTTAACTAACATCAAGAAATGGCATGGGGCATAGTTAATTGCTGAGAGAATGGTAGAAACAATGCTGTAAAATTAGAGAAGATGAGAAAATATACGGCAGGCCTTTGAATAATGTCATTTTGTTATAATGTTATGAGATTGTAGGAACTTAACTCTTGTTTATATCAATGTGCCTGTGGTAAAATTGGTTTCCTTATATATTGTTTTGCTTAAAGTCACAGAACCCGTCCATGACATTAAGTGAGGGCCTACTGTATTTGAAATAGTTTTGCTTTTAAGCAACCACATGCTTTTCTGTAAAATCTTTCTAGGTTTATGCACTTGGATACTTTTGGGGAAGTGTCACAAATGGGCGGGCGTCACATCCCTTGCTGCCCTCAACCACAGCAGCTCTACTTTCATCTCTTTGATGTCCGGAATATGTTTAAGAAGATTTCAGTTTTTGTGTCTGGCTTGTTTCACTTAGCACAGTTTCATGATTCATTGAAGTGTCTACCAGTACATACTTCTTTTTTATGGCTGAATCATATGGCTACATGGCATTTTATGTACCCATTTATCAGTTGATGGACATTTGAGTTGTCTCTGCTTTTTTGACTATTATGCATAATAATGTATGAACATTCTTGTACAGATGTTTTTGTGGATATATGCTTTTAATTCTTTGGCTATATATTGAGGTGTGAAATTGTTGGCAGATATGGTAACCCTGTTTAACCGTTTAATGAACAGCAGCTATTTTTCCAAAGTGCACCACTTTACATTCCTGCTAGCAGTGTTTACTGGTTCCAATTTCTCCACATTCTCATTAATTTTGTGCTTCTCCTGGCTGTCCTAATGTGTGTAAAGTGTATTTTTGTGCGTGTGATTTTGTTATGTTTTTCCCTGCTGACCAATGCTGAGCATTTTATGTGCTTATTGACCAGTGTGTATCTTTTTTGGGGGAAATATTTATGAAATACCTGGCCTGTTTTTAATTGGGTTATTCATCTTTTTACCATTGAGTTGTAGCTTGCTTACTTTTTAAATCTATATTATGTAGCTCTAAAATTACTGTTTTCTTACCAAGTTCCCAATTATCTCAACACAGTTTGGGATAATTGGGAATTTGGTAAAATCCCAATTTCAGGAAGACCTTAAAAGTTTCTCTTTACATTAGTTTGTGCTGCGTCCTTTAATAAATAATTTGTTTTTCCAAAATACATAAAAAAAAACTTTAAAACTATATTTGCAGGCACAATGATGACTAAAAGGTAAAGATTTCTTGGATTAAATTTTCATATTACACACATATTAGATCTTCTTACCATTTTCAAAAAATGCAGTACAATCCCAATTAAAACATTGAATTTAACCTTAGGTCCATAAACACTGCTAACATTATTTTGGATGAGTCATTAGAGTACAATCAGATCAGGAATACCTGGGAAGGAAGAGTGATGAGTAAAAACTGGTTCAGAAGTAAAAGGCTAGTAAGAGCTTACAAAAAAGATTGAAAATAGTATGTCAACATTTATGAAATTTACTTCAGAGTAAATTAGCATTTTATGTCACTTGCAAAAAATGTGGATTATTTAATAAATGAGGTTGTCACATAGGATACATACTAGGCCTTGGAAAAGTCTTTAATTGAAGGGAAATTTTTTATAGAAAAACATCTATCTGCCCTGGCTGCTGTGGCTCAGTGGACTGAGTGCCAGCCTGTGAACCAAAAGGTCCCCAGTTGAGTTCCCAGTTAGGGCACATGCCTGGGCTGTGGGCCAGGTCCCTTCCTGGTTGCCAGCATGTGAGAGGTAACCAGTCAATGTATCTCTCACACATCAGTGTTTCTTTCCTTCTCTTTCTCCCTCCCTCCCTCTCTTTTTAAAAATAAATAAACAAAATCTTAAAAAAAGAAAGAAAGAAAAACATCTACCTACTATAGATAAAGCTATCTGAGCTTCCATGTATATACATCTTGGTTTTGCTGTCCTTTCAGATTGAAGAGCAGTCAGACTGTAAGATCCTGGATGGGCACTTTGTCTCCCCTATGGCCCACTATGTGCCTAATATCATGCCAAGTGAATCTGTGATTGCAAGGTAAGCATTTGTATTCCGAGTTAAAGTACTAATTTGTGTACATCCATTTAAATTATAAAAATATCAATGCCATGTTATTTGAAATCACTTACTATTAATTACAATTATTTAGCATTATTCCCATTAAACATGGGGAGAAGGGAGATTGAAATTATAGAGCTTTGATAAGAAGATTTTTAAAAATAACTTGAGGCAAATGAAAATGAAAGTACAACATACCAAAGCTTATGGCATGCAGCAAAAGCAGTTCTAAGACCAAAGGTCATAGGGATAAATTCCCAAATTAAGAAAAAAAAAAATCTCAAACAACCTAAGTGTACACCCCAAGAAAATAGAAAAAGAAGAACAAACTAAGTCCAAAGTTAGTAGAAGAGAGGAAATAGTATAGATCACAGCAGAAATAAATGAAATAAAGACTATAAATGTAATATAAAAGATCAGTGAAACTAAGCTGTTGTTTTTCTTTTTTAAAGATAAACAAAGGAGACAAACTTTCAGCTAGACTTGCCAAGAGAAAAAGATAAATACCATATGATCTCATTTATATGTGGAGTCTTTAAGAAAAAAAAAGTCCACAAACTCATAGATAGGACAGACTGGCAGTTGACGGAGATAGGGTATGGGGAGGTTGGCAGAGTGGGTGAAGGTGGTGCAAATGTACAAACTTTCAGGTATAAAATAAGTCTTAGGGGTATAATATACAGCATGGTGGCTGTAGTTAATAATTCTGTATTGTATGTTTGAACGTTGCTAAGAAAGTAATTTTTAACCCTGGCTGGTGTAGCTCAGTGGATTGAGCACGGGCTGTGAACCAAAGGGCCGAAGGGTCACCAGTTCAATTCCAGTCAGGGCACATGCCTGGGTTGCAGGCCAGGTCCCCAGTGGGGGCCATGTGAGAAGCAACCACACATTGATGTTTCTCACCCTCTCCTCCCTCCCTTCCCTTCTCTCTAAAAATAAATAAATAAAATCTTAAGAAAAAGAAGAAAGCAATTCTTTAAAGTTCTCATCAAGAAAAAAGAGAACAAGAAAAAATTTTAGAACTGTGTGTGTTGATAAATGCTAACTAGACTTGTGATCATATTACAATATACACATATATTGAATCATTATGTTATACTCCTGAAACTAATAATATCTTAAATGTCAATTATGTCTTTAAAAAAACAGCAAAGATTTTGAAAGCTGGAAATGGGAAGCCATTAAGATCTACATGCACGGGGGACCCCACAAAAACCCTGAATTTATTTACAAAAAAAATATGTATTTATTCTTATATGTTTGAACTTCAGTCACCTTCAAAGTATGCTCCCATTTGATGTAGTACACCTATCAAGATATTTTTCTCCACTGCCCAAAACAGTTTTTGAACTTGTCAATTTTGTTACCTTTTAGTGCTTCTGCCATTTTTTATTTCACCTCTTCAACACTGGCAAACATTTCCTTTGAGGACTTTTTTTATCTGGGGAAACAAAAAAAGTCACTCGGTGAGATTGCATGAATAGGGAGGGTGGGGCATGGGTGTCATGCCATTTTGGTCAAAAACTACTGAACACTCAGTGTGGTGTGGGCAGGCGCACTCATAAATTACCCGTCAGAAAATGGGCAATAGTGTTGGAAGTCTTCAAAAAAATTTACTGAAGCCAAATGCAGCCTCTTACCACAATGCCAGCTGGTCCACGGATACAGATGGGTACCTAGAACCCTCACCTAGCAGGGGAAGCCTGGACTACAAGGGGCCTGCCCTCCAGAAGACAAGTCTGGGGTTTTGGGAAGGTCCCCCTTTGTAGCAGATACTTCCTGGGTGCCTCATTGTACCTCATCTCTGCTCTATGACCCCATGTCCATGTCACTTTTCTGTGGTTAGGCTATCTTTCTCTGTTTCTCATGCAACTAACAAGAAGATAGCTACCACAACCCCACAGAGCTCTAATTAGTGTCTCTCTTAACCCCAAATTACCAAAAGAACAAATTGTATTGTCCTGATTTGGCCTATACTTGACCCAACCATTTGTGGTTGAGGGGCTCATGTGGCCCGTACCCTTCCGTCATGTGAACGAGCACAGGCCGTGTGAGAAGACATGCATATAATTTGAGCAAACTTATCAATGAGCCTGTACTAGATGTGTGGTCAGTTATTACTATAATAAAAAATTCCTATTAACTTAAGGCTATTCTCCAATGAAGAAGTCTGTAAATCCATTGCCACAGGACAAAAGGAAAGGACAAATAACTGCAGAGGTATCCCACTTTATGTGGAAAACATTTCTTAATATTTTCATTTCCCCCAAATCTTCAAAATATCAAGAAGTGGCATAGTGCTAAGAGTGCAGAATGAAGGAGAGTAGTTGATATTGTTAGTTTTCAGTATGAGATTGAAAATTAAGAGTCTGTTCCCATGAGCACAAAATAGAAATAATTATTGAAACCATCCTAAATGTAATTGTCTATGTTCTAGTCAACAGCGTATTGACAGTAGATTACTAGTGACATTGTCCTTTGCCCAAGCAAAGTAAGCTCAGAAGTGCAGTTCTTGTAGCCTGAGATGCAGCCACCTAAGAATTATGTTTTCTAAGAATAAGTCATATACACTGACGTGTCTCCCGTAAAAAAATTTCACTGTGCATTAATAAAGTGGTATTGAATAGGTAAAAAATCATCATAATAAGTTCTGTGTTTATGTTGTCATTGAATACATAAAGCAAATTTACAATATCTTTGTTGCTTTTAGGCAAACATTAGTTTAATTACTCAATTACAGTTTTAATATAAAAAATCTGAAGATCTTTTCTCCCAAATAATTTAATTATGAAATGTTTGAGAATTGAAAGTTTGTATTACAAGCCTTTTAAAGATAATTTACTGATGTGTTTTATTTTAAATAGGTTCCAATTTATTGTGCCTAAAGAATGGAACAGCAAATACAGACCCGTGTGCATTCATCTAGCTGGAACAGGGGATCATGTAAGCCTTGGCCATAATAACGTCCGTCCACCTCGTCAGCATCCTCTCCCCAGCAGGCGTGGTGCCGGAGCCGCTAAGTGTGCCGTCTTTTCTTTCCTCAGTATTACTGGAGGCGACGGACCCTGATGGCTCGCCCTATGATTAAAGAGGCCCGAATGGCCTCTTTGTTGTTAGAAAACCCTTATTATATCCTTTTGCGATACGTAGAAGTCTCTCATCTTATTTATTTATAGATTTAGTCATCAAAAGGAATGATAGATAGTAGCCACCTTTTCTCGGTCAATTGAATTTAGTCATCAGTTCAGAAAATACTTAAGAATGAAATGAAAACTTATTTCATGCCTTTTAAAAACCCAAGTAAGGATGATGCTTCTATTATATCATATAATAAAGGTAAATTGTACTTCTGTTTTCTGTGAGACTTATGCTGCATTTTAATTATGAGTAAGTCAAACGCTATTAAGAAAACCCTCATGTTGTCAATGCTTTACGGTTAAGTATCAGTGGAGGTTTAGAACAGTTCTTAACTTAATTTTCAAGATGATGTCAGTCTGTGCCCAGAAGAAGAAACGAAACTGATGCACAGACAATAAGGAAATGCTCAACATTGCTGGTAATAAGGGAAATGTCAAGTTAAAGCAACAATTAACAAAGAGTTAAGAACAAAGCAGTAGTTACAAGGTTTTTGTGAAATGGGCACTCGCGTTACTGATGCCTGTGAATATCAGCCCAGGCCTGTGGGAAAGCATTTTTACCATATCGCATCAGGAGCCTTAAAAAATTTCATATCCCTGACAGTGATTTTCATTCTGGGAAGTTTATTCTAAGGATAAAATACTAAGAAAAGAGAAAAATGATAGAAAAAAGAAAAGATATCTATATAGCTTTATTTATAATAGTAAAATATTAGAAATAGCTTGAATGTCCAATAGTAGCAACGTGGTTGAGAAAACTGTTGGGAATTATGTTGAGAAAACATAATATTGAAATACTGTACAATTTGATGTATCATGTTTATTGCTCTACTGCTTACTACCTGTATAATCTTGAATTTGTTACTTAACTGTTTAGTACATCATTTTTTTGTTGTTGGTAATGGGAATAATCTCTTAGATTTTTCTGAGCATTAAATGGTTAATACTGTCTGGAACATTGCCTGGTAAATACTGTGTTGAGTAAATTTTAACAGTTATTAAAAAGTTTACATCAATGTTATTTATGCATATATATGCAAAAAAACTAAAAATAGAAAACCTATTTTTCTAAAAAAACTGAGCCAAAGAAAAAATACTAGAAGGAAATATACTGAGGTGTTAATATAATTGTCTGTAAATAAAGTAGTTTTTTTTTCTAATAAGCCTTTCAGTATTTTCTAGGTTTTCTTTTTTTAAATTTTTTTATGATTTTATTTGAGCCCAACTGATGACATAGACTTGGGAGCAAGATCTTCAATGCTGTCTTCTAGGTTTTCTATCATAAATATATAAATAAGAAAAATTTACAAACTTAAGTTGAAAACTTAAAACTAAATACTAGTTGTGAATATACTAAAAACATTGAATTGTACATTTCAAATGGGTAAAATGTGTGGTATGTGGTACTGTCTCAGTAAAACTCTAAAAAAAGAGGATGATTATTGATTTGAGAAACCTGAGAACTTCTAAACAGCATATTTGGGGTAACTAGAAAATAGTTATTTCAGTATTAACTTCTCTTCAACTTTAATTATTTTAAGTTAACGTTTTCTGATACACAGAGTGTATTTAATTACTTTAAAACTTTGTCTTTGACCCACATTCTCAAATGGCTGCAGGAAACCCAAGGACCAAATGTGAGTATATGTCACCTTCATTCTCACAGTCTTCATACTGAATTTTCAGCAGTGTTAAAATTTTTAGTAGTCTTTGGTTAACCATTTCTCAGTTTAATCTCCAAATGTTACTAGGGGGAAGTTCTGTTATAAAACTGTAGTAGAAATGATAGTTAAATTTTTACTTTAAGCTTTTTGTATTTTAAATGATTGCCAGGTGTGGCGGGTTTGGAGAAGTTCAGGAGGGTACAAAGGGTATAAACAGTGACGGAAGGAGTCCTGACTTGGGGTGGTGAACACACAGTACAGTGCACAGGTGATGTGTTGTAGGATGGTGCACCTAAACTGATACAGTTTTGTTCACCAGTGTCACCCCGATGAATTCACTAAAAAGGAAAAAGTAAATTAATGTAAAAATAAAGTACATTTACTTTGTGAAATTAAACACTATTCTTTTTATTCTTACAGTGCATATCATAGGTAATCTGAAGATAAACTTTCTCTTCCTGGTCTTTTAAATGACGAACGTTGAAGGCAGTTTTGTTTTGTTTTGTTTTTGTATTTTTATAATCTATATTATGTTTAATTTTGGTTCATTCCAGAAATATTTGACCCTAGACACTGGGAAGACAGCAAAAAAAGACAAAGTCCTTAGTTTAATGAACTTATATTGTAGTATGGGAGGTCAAAATACATGGGATAATTTTAGATACTTATCAGTACCATGAAGAAGATAAAGAATAATAGAGCCTGGGTGCCGGGCTGAGCTGTAGTAGGTATGAGGATGTGAAGTAATGAGAAGGAGCCAGTCAGGGCAGAGCCCTGGAGGGAGGTCAGCCTCAGCGAGGAAGAGGAGGTGAAAGGCCCTGGGTGAGCACGGGGCGGGTGCGGAGAGCAGAGCCAGATGAGGCCAGGAAGGTCGGCTGGGACCGGGCTGGGAGGAGCCCTGTTAGAGTTCTACTGTAAGTGCAGTGGGGAACCTTTGGAGTATTTTAAGCACTGGAATGATCTTATTTATGTTTTTAAAGGCTTATTTTTGCTTACTGGGACAAGAGTAGCAGCAGAGAAATCAAATAGGAATTTATTATTACAACATGTTAGGAAAAAAGCGACTTTAAGGTGGTAGAAGTGGAGATGCAAAAAAAATTCCGATGGATTTGAGATATATAATTTAGAAGCTGAAGTGATAAGACTTGCTGATAAAGTGGATATTGTAGGTAGCAAATCAGAAGTTCTGACTTGGACATCTCCGTGATGTCTGTTGGGCCTGCAAGTGGAGAAGTCAAGTAGGGACTTGGAAAGTGGTGGAAAGGTAGGTTTAGAAGTCACATGTCCATGTGGTCGTAGAAATGGTCATGAAAGTGGGGTGTGGTGGGGGCAACCCTATATCCTGTGGTTAGATTTAGAATGAACTTTGTGAAAACTTGGGGAAAATTACATCCAGGCTGAACAGTTCAAGAATTCTTACTCTTAAACCAGACTAGGTGTGTCACTTTCACCCAGTCTGTAGGTGTTTAAAAACCAAAAAGAGTTTATTGTGTTGTACTGAAAGTCAGAAAATTGTTTAACAGAAACATTCACCCTGGCTGGTGAAGCTCAGTGGTTTGAGTTGAACGCCAGCCAGCCTGCATACGGAAAGGTTGCTGGTTTGATCCCCAGTCAGGGCCCATGCATGGGTTGCGGGCCAGGTCCCCGGTTCAGGGGCGTGGGAGAGGCAACCGATTGTTTTTCTCCCTCTCTTTCTCCACCCCTTCTCCTCTCTCTAAAAATGAATAAATAAAATCTTTAAAACTTTTTTAAAAAAAGAAACATTCATGATTTTGGCTTCATATATACATAGATTGGAATTGTAACTTGCCGCTTACTAGTTGTATCACCTTGGCCTAAGCATCAATCACTTCATTTATAAAGTGGGAAAACCATATAATTTCTCCAGTGCAGAACTGTGAGAATTATGTTTATAAAGTACCCTGTCGTATATTATATACCCAGGAAATACAATGCCCCAGTGTACTTGATTTTTCTCAAATAATTTGTGAGAAATGGCTTACAATTTAAATAATAATAAACAGTTCTCTTTTTAAATGTCTTAACCCTATTTTCATCAAAAGTAGTTATATACTTTGAGACTGGGTTTATAGTTATTGACAACCATTGTCCCAGAACCTCACACCAGTATCTTCTGTATGAAAGAGTGAACTGAGAAGTAGAAAATTGGGATGAGGATAGGAAACAAGTAAAAGGATGAATGGGTTCTTTTCTGATGAAGCATGAGTCGGTCTTTTTCCACATAGGATACCACAGTTTCCATAGCGAGAAGTCCTGCTTTATGGACAGGACAGTGGGCATAAGCTTCTGGGGGCCAGAATTCTGTTTTTAACAACTTGGCATTCCTGTGTCACCCAGTTCTTTGCATATGACTATTCTACCTAGGGATATAATGAATAACTATTGATAAAATGAGTGCACACTTTGACATAAAATGACACTTTGTGCACTTTCACCCACTGGCCAATTATGTGTCTTTATATGAATTAAGTTTTTTTTTTTTTACTAATAATCTTGGAGAGAAAGAAAGTGACGGACGGGGGTGGGGGGGTTAGGGATTGAGACTCAGAGAGAAAAACATCAATTTGTTGTTCCACTTCTTTATCTATTCATTGGTTGCTTCTTGTCTGTGCCCTGACCGGGGATAGAACCTGCATCCTTGGCGTATCGGGATGATGCTCTGACTGCACTACTCAGCCAGGGCTGTATGAATTGTTTTGAAAAATAGATTCTAACCTGGTCATTTTAGTAATACAATAATAATGGTTTTTTTCTCTATGTACGAGTGGTTCTGGAGTCTAAAAAAATGTATTTAAGTACTTCCTTTAAGGAAATGTATTTTCATATAAAATCAGTTCCTAAGAACAAAAAAAATTCAGTTAAATTGGTCTTTTTAAAAATTAAAACATGTATTTTTATAAAAATTTATTTTTCCAGTATTTTATTATAAATTGTGTATTTTGCAGAAACAAGCAATGTAAAATTTTGGTAATACGTGAAACTAGTATTAGGTTAAATTCTTTTACATTGCTTTTTTTTAATGTTATACTTTAAGTTCCATTGTAATAAGTTTTTTCTAAGGGGGGACAACTATAAATTTGTTTTTCCTTATATTTATGTCAGTCATGGAAATTTAAATAAAAATTGGCAGCATAGAAATATTATTTTCTGCCCTGGCTGTTGTGGCTCAGTTGTTGAGTGCTGGCCTGTGAATCAGAGGGTTGCCGTTTCAATTCCCAGTCAGGGCACATGCCTGAGTTGTGGGCCAGGTCCCCAGTAGGGGGCACACAAGAGGCAACCACATGCTAATGTTTCTCTTCTTCTCTTTCTCCCTCCCTTCCCCTCTGTCTAAAAATAAATAAATAAAATCTTTAAGAAAAAAAAGAAAAATTTTATTTTCCCATTCAACATTTTAAGTTTTTAAGTGCCATTGAATAAATAAACTATTCTTTTTTCTGAACTTCATAATAATTAAATAGATGAAATTCAATAAAGATTACATGCTATAGAGCATATATACCATATTTAAAAATATGTTTTAGGTGAGCTCTGACTGGGTCGCTCAGTTGGTTAGTGCTTCGTCCCAATATGCTGAGGTTGCAGGTTTGATGTTTCACTCTCTCCTCTCTTTCTCTCAATCAATAACTAAATTTTAAAAAAGTAAGTTTTAGTGATTATTATTTCTACATAATATTATTTCTACATAATGTAGAAATATATTAGCTGTACCTTTTTTTTAAAGATTTTATTTATTTATTTTTTTTAGAGGGGAAAGGATGAAGAAAGAGAGGGAGAAATCACTGATGTGTGATTGTCTCTGCCACACCCCCAACTGAGTGCCTGGCCTGGCAACCCAGGCATGTGCCCTGACTGGGAGTTGAACCAGCAACCCTTGGGTTTGCAGGCCAGCACTCAGTCCACCAAGCCACACCAGCCCGGGCAGCAGCACTTTAATTACATCAACTCAGTTCATTATTTTACTTAGCTATTTGGTCCTTTAAAAGAAAATCGTGAATTCTGGCTGCCTGTTTTAAATTTACAGATATTGAAATGTAAATGCATAAAATAAATAATTTTCTTTTTTGTTTTGTGAGGCTAGAAGGTCCAGCTTAAAAAACGTGTCTGACCTATTTGTGATGGGAGGAGCTCTTGTGTTAGAATCGGCAGCTCTCCTGCACTGGCTAGAGAGAGAGGGCTATGGCCCTCTGGGAATGACCGGAATATCCATGGGAGGACATGTAAGCCTTTCCTTTCGACTGGTACTTACTTGTGATTGTGTTTATGAGCTCTAGGGAATCTAATTATTCTCAAAATTCCTGTGTGTATAGAATTAGTTTTAGTTTTGGTGAAAGCAGAAACAGTTTAAATTTCCATTCCAATTAGAAAGTAATGATTTTTTTTTATGATTTATGTAGATACTGATTGTGCTTACCCCACAGTTACATCTCAGGTATTGAATTTAATACTTTATTAAAAGTAGATTATAAAACTTAGCTCAAGTTTAAAGTATAAATGTCTTACGTTGGTAAACATAGCTAATTTGGAAAATACTTTCCATTCACTTCTTATCTGTACCCCCAGTACCACAAACCTATTTTACCTTTATCTGCTAGAGTGTACTCAAATGGCCTTCTAATTGGTTTCCCTCTCTGTGTTCTTTTCTCTCCATCTTTTTCTTAACAGTTTTCCTCCACACCCTAGTCATCTTAGTCTGATCTCAGCTCTGGCCTGCTTACAACCTGCCAAAGGCTTGCCGTTGCACTGGCTGAACTGTGCCAGGTGCTGACATCCTTCTAGTGCCTCTCCATGCCCTTTCACCTACTTGAGTAACACTTTGCTCTCTGGTTCCAATTTGGAGCTTACTTCCTGTGAGAAGCTGTCCCTGACTCCCAGCCTTACTCCACGCTATATTTCGCCTCCCATTAGTACTTATTTCACTGTATTTATTCAGCAGTCTTTTTGCTCCACAAAGCAATCAATTCAGTGAGGACCAGGAATATGCTCTGGTTCTTTATCTGGACGTGTTAGTCACTCAATGCATTAAAAATATGTGGTCTGTCCAGAAGGTACCCAGCCACATAGTATGAAAAATAGAGACATTTATCAAAGAATATATGACACACAAGAAACATTGTACATAGGACAGTGACACCTCAGTCCCCTTCAAAGTAGGCACCTTGGGACCTCACACAGTTCTCCCAATTGCTATCAGCTGCCCTGTCATATTTTCCTGAATGTCGACTGTCTGAAATCTCTTCCCTTTCAAAGGTAATTTTAGTTTTGGAAAAAGACAGAAGTCTCAGGGTGCCAAACCTGGGGTGTAGTCACTTGAGTGATTTTATGTTTTGCCAAAAAAAACTGCATGAGATGTGATACATAAGTGGGTGCATCGTCATGATGAAGCTGCCGATCCCATAGCTGTGGCCTTCTGAATCCTTGGGAGAGTTTCTGGGGAGCAATGTCCAAGCTTGATGCAACATTTGATGTACATTTGTTGCTCTACTCACTCAGTCATTTTGAATGCGGCAGCCACACGGTGCACATGCTCACTCAATGCTGTCTACCGCCTCCACTGACTAGCACAGTGAAGTCATCATTGTTCACGCATGTGCAGTCCAGTCCACTCTCCTTGGTTGCCAGGTTACATTGATGTTGCACAAACTGTTCTCATTATATTAACAATGGTTGGGCTCTCTCTGGATAGACCTTCTATGTATTGTTTGCTGTAAGTCAGTTGAATTATAAAATTAAGTTCAAAAACTTACTCAAATTCAAAGCAGTTGCCAGAGAGTGAATCTGGTAAAATTAGCTTCAAGAACTTACTCAACTTCAGAACAACAACTACCAGACAGTGAACGTGCAGGGTGGTAAAGGATTTATTTTCCTACCTAGTAGTGTTTCCATTGTTATAACTAGGTTGGGACCTTCTCATTTCACCTGGACTACTGCTGCCTCTTAACTGGTTTTCCCACCCAAATCTCATCCTCTTTCGTCAGTCCTTTGAACTACTATCACTTTAGCTTCCTTGCGTCACTTCTTTGACAGTGCCACTCCTCTCCTCGGGTGTCTTTATCAATCCCCCATTATCTATGGAACAGAGGGACTTCTAATCTGGTCCTGATTGACCTTTCTAGCATGGCCCATCTCTCTGACCCCACTGGCCACATGGGCATCATCGACCAGTCAAGCTTAAGTGCAGCACTGTGCAAAAGAAGGTTTACCCATGAGTACGTTAAACACCGTTTTTTCTTGTATTATTATCTATTATTGTATTCTTTTCCACACGAACGACTGTACACCTACTTTTGCCCGGCCCTGTTCCCTACCAGCCGTGCTCTGTGCTTTCTCACCATCTGGCCTTTGATCGCGCTGCTTCTTTCATGTGGGAAACAAGACCCCATCCTTCCCTTTCCCCAGAAGACGGCCACTTCCTGAAGCCGCCTGTGATTCCTTTAGCCAAAAATAACTCCTCCCCTCTCTAAACATACATATTACAGTCTTTTGTATCAGTTATATATTCTGCTTTGTCGCCCACCAACGTCTTGGCATCCACCAGTCAACTTTACAGCTGGGGGGGTGCCGTGCCCGAGAGTCACTCTGGGAACGAGCGCGCGCAGCATCTGCTTCTCCGCGTGTTCACTCTGCACTTCCCCAGTAGAACGTAGCTCTCTGTGGAAGGCCTTGAGATCGCTTAAAACTTTCCCATGTGTTTTATTGCTTTCAAAGGGGGAAGTTGTATGTTGTTGGATTTATGACTTGGGAAGGCTGAAAAGGTTTCTAGACATTGTCATAGTGTTTAAAGACTTTATGTTCATGTCTTATCTCACCAAGTACTTACTACGCAAAGTGCTTGTTAATGTTAAATATTTTTTACTTTAACATATAGGAAGTTTAAACAGAAGCTCTCTAACTGACTGTGTTAACATATTACAGATGGCTTCCTTAGCGGTATCCAGCTGGCCTAAGCCCATGCCATTGATTCCGTGTCTGTCTTGGTCCACAGCATCTGGTGTCTTCACTACGGTATTTAATTACAACTAATATTTTTTAAAAAATTATTTACTGATTATGTGCATGTGTATATATAATGTGTGTGATATATATGTGTGTATGTATATGTATATATATAGAGAGAGAGAGACAGAGAGGGAGAGAAATGTTGATTTGTTGTCCCCTTTATTCATCTATTGATTTGCTCATTCTTGCATGTGCCCTGACTGGGGATCAAACCCGAAACCTTGGCATGTTGAGGAAACGCTCTAACCAACTGAGCCACCTGGCCAGGGTGCAGTTAATATTTAGATAGCTATACATGCTTACATGGAGTTGTTTTGGGGGCTCCCCAAACCACTCCCAGGTTTGGTGATTCATTGAAAGGAATCACAGGACTCAGCACGTGACTGTAACCGTGACTAAGACTCATTACAGCAACGGGTACTAGACAAAGTCAGCAAAGGAAAGGCACCCAGGGTGAAGTCCAGAGGACACCAGGGGTGAGCGTTCAGTGCAGTCCTGCACGACGGCTTTGATTCCTACAGCTGTGAGTTGTTGACAGTATAGGCAAAGTGGTGTCCACTAGTGCAGCTCGCGTGAGCCCAGAAGTCCAGGGTTTTTATCAGGGGCCAGTCGTGTAGGCACCCTCTGCCCAACATGTTCCGAACTTCCAGAAGGAAAGCAGGTGCCCAGCAGACACAACATTGTTTGCACAAGCAGTTTAAGCTCAGAGACCCACTTTATCATGTAGGGAGTCTCACGTGAGGAGAAAGAACTGTTTAGCATGTTCCCAGACTCTTGTCAAGGGCCAACCTTTATAAGTAGGCCTTTCTCAGGACAGTAAGCCTCAAGCCCGCTGTGTTAACTCTTTCTGTACAGTAATAATGCATTTTGTTGGACAAAATGGTGGGTGGTAGGATTTGATCTCAATTTCGTTTGTTATTTCAGGGTGTGCTGAGCAAATCGATTAATTGGAGGGAGCTGGAAAAGCAGTATTATACACAGACAGTGTATGAGGAAGAAATCATTCACATGCTTGAATATTGTGGAGTAAGTATTTTTAATTTCTGCATAATGTCAGGGGAAGGGTTGATTGTTTAATGATTCCGATGTTTAAAAAGAATTGCAAATTTTTTTAAAAAGCAGTACTATTTTTTACTTTTAAAAATTTGTTATTTTAAAATAAAATACAGATATAAAAATTAAATTAAAAAATACAGATACAGGAAATCATGCAAAGCAATTGTATGGCTTACTACCTTTATTAAATAGCAAACACATCTGTGATAGGTCAAGAGTAGACCTTGACCACCAGGAACCACTTCCGTGTCCTGACCAAAAGGCCTTCCTCCCCCTACTATTAGTTATCATTATCCTGATCTTCATAGTATTTACTTCCTTCTTTCTTTAAAGTGATTGATTGTCCAAATGTACATCTCTAGACACTATAGTTATTTCATGTTATTATTTTTGTGGTGACAGTGTGATTGATGGAGATAAGAGAATTAGGTGCAGACAAGGGGGAAAGGGATAATCATTACATTTCTTTTATTTGATGTTCCTTTTAAGTGTCCATTATTACTATTATTATTATTATTATTCTGGCTACTCTAATACGGTTGTCCCAGCTTTTCCCCCTTTGCCCTCCTCCGCCCAGCCCAGCCCACCCCCTGCTCCCACAGTCAGTCTCTACCCCATTGTCCATGTCCATGGGCCAGTGATACATGTTCTTTGAACTCTCCCCCTTCTTTCCACCCTTCCCCCACCTCCCCTCCGGCAGCTGCCAGTCTCTTCTGTTTCCATGTCTGTGGCTCTGTTTGGCTTGTTAGTTTATTTTGTTCATTAGATTCATTTTATAAGTGAGATCCTATGGTATTTGTCTTTCACTTGGTAAGTTCCCTTCCATCCCTGTCTTCCCCTGAAAATTTTTCTATTGAAGAACTTGGGCTCTTTATCTGTAGAATTTCTCACGGAATAATTCTTATTATTCTCACGGTACAGTTTAGCATCTCCCCCCATGTTCTATATTGCCTGCGAACTGGCAACCAGGTCTAGAGACTTGATTAAACTCAGTGTTTGCTTCCTTGGAAAGAGTCTGGGAAGCAGGTAGTGTATCTTATCTGGTTGTCTTGTGGAGCAAGCCTCCATTGATGCTTTAATGCCTATGTCAGTTAATTTCTTGAGAGTTGCAAAACACTGGTATCCTAATTATCATTGGTTTGTTTGGGTACTTTTATAAAAAGGTACTTCTCTCATCTATTATGTGGTTACCTATTAGTTCAGTTCATATAGGAAAGGCAGGGTAAATGCTTGATTCTGTCCCTTAATTGGCCCATTTTCAGGAATTGGTTGCCTGTTTCTCTCCTAAGGTGACCAATTCTTTTCACGAATTTTAAAATGTTGCATTATTACTTTGAAAGTTACTGAGAATCTCAGAAAATCTCAGAAAAAGAATTTTTCTACTACCAATAAGGAATTTTATTTATAATTAAATCACTATTATGAATAGATCTACCTTGCATAACCTCAAAGGGTAATTAATTACTTGCCTACAGAACTCTGTTACAAAACATCTGTACCTGCTACTTAGTTCCTTGTGATCCACACATATAATCAGAAAGGTACCTATATTTGAGAGCTTATGAGAAAACTTTTAACATGCATCTTTGTAAGGGAGGTTCATGAATTTTGGTCATGTGAAATTGCAATGTATCCTTTTAAAAATTTTCCTGAGTCTTTCTTTCTTTCTTTCTTTCCTTCTTTCTCTCTTTCTTTCTCTTTCTTCTTTCTTTCTTCTTTCTCAGAGAGAGGGGAGGGAGGGAGGGAGAAAGAGAGCAAGAGAGACATTGATGTGCACAAGAAACATGGATCGGTTGGCTCTCACATCTCCCCAAATGGGGGACTAGGCCCACAACCCAGGCATGTGCCCTGGCCAGGAATCGAACTAGCAGCCGTTTGTTTGGCATGCTGATGCTCATTACACAGGGCCACTCCAGCCAGGGTGGCAGTGTATTCTTAACCAGCACTTCTTTCTCTGTGCCTCTGACTTGGTGGTTGTACACAAGAGTTTTTGTTTGTTGAACTAGTTCAGAGTAGTGAATATTCAGGAAATGTCAAGATGGCTTCCTTCTTTTTTCGTTTTAAAAATTGCATTTTCCTTATCAAAAGGAGTGGCATACCACTTTGTTGGTATACCACTCTGAGTAATTCTAGGGTGCTTTGATCTTATCATTTCCCAATATTACTAAGCTTCTTCATCTCCTCTTTTATATTTCTGTGGTCTAGATGGCTTTAGTGACTTGTTCTGTCAACCAGATTGTTGAGTTTGTTTTTTTTCTTTCCTTCAACCAATTTTTCATTCTTTAATTTTTAAAACAGATTGTATGTCCATGTAGTTCAAGTATCAAAAAGTATAAAAAGATATATAACAAAATAAATATTATCCTTGTTCCCAGTTTGCCTAGGTCCTATCTCCTTCAACAAATAATCCACCATATTATTATTTAATACTTGAAGGAATTTTTTCAAACCAATAGAAATATGAATTTTTTCCTCTTCCCATTATTTATGGACCATGCACAAATGTTTCCTTTTTCATCCTTGCTGCTGCATAATGGTCTGTTACAGGAATGGATGTACCATGATTTATTAACCATGGTACTTGTTAGTGGGCATTTTATGTTGTTCCTCATCTTTCACTATTAAAACCAATACTGGCCTTGGCTGGTGTAGCTCAGTAGATTGAGCCCCGGCCTGCAAACCAAGGGGTCGCTGGTTTGAGCCCCAGTCAGGGCACATGCCTGGGTGGCAGGCCAGGTCCCCAGCTGGCGTGTGAAAGGCAACTGATCAACATCTCTTGCATCAATGTTTCTCTCCCTTTCTTTCTCCCTCCCTTCCCCTCTGTCTAAAAATAAAAGAAGTATTTAAAAAACCAGACACTGCAGTGAGTTACTTTGTACATACATTATTTCGCAAATGTAAATTCCTAGAAATGTTGTTACTGAGTTGAAGGGCATATGCATCTGCAGTGTGGTTAGATTCTATCTAAGCCTAGTTGTATCAGTTTATGCTGCCGACACGTGTCTTTTCCCCATAAACTCACACATCCACTAAACTCTGTAAGTGAAAATTATTACACTTACAGAGGTATTTCTTACCGATAGTGAATATTGGTATAGTGTTTGTTATATTACTTAATTTTTAGTGAAATTGAATATAAGTTTAAGAGCCATTTCTATTTTATTTTCTGTAACCGTATATGTATATCCTTTGCTCATTTTTTTCTATTGTGATTTTGGGCTTTCTCTTCACTCTAGCATTAATCAAAACAATTAGTTCTTTGTCAAATAGGTTGTAAATATATTTTCCCCACACTACCAATTTTGTCTTTTGACTTTGCTTTTAGTATTTAACAAAATTTATTTTTATGTAAATTATGTTGTATTATAAGTCCTTAAATTTAGTTCATACTTTTGAGAGTCTAATAGGCAAAATTTATTCCCTGATCATTTTTAATTCTCCCTAGCTCAACCTGAGAAGGCAATCTGGAGTGGCTGTTGTAATCACTGCCAGGATATGCTTTACTTATAAGACGATTGGGAGTTCCAGCAGGTCAGGGATTTCCAAATTTTGACAATAAAAACATGAGACAGACTAAATTATACCTATTACATTACTGTTCAGTAGGAAATATTTAGCAATAAAATACAGATCTGTCTTAGTCCTAAGTTAAATTTTGACATCTCTTTTCCCTAAATTGTGATAAAGTATATACAACATAAAAGGTGCCATTTTAACTATTTTTTTAAGTGTGCAGTTCAGTGTTATTAGTTACATGTATTCACACTGCTGTGCAACCATCACCTCTCCAGCACCACTCTCCAGTTGCAGAACTTTTCATTGCCCTAAACTGAAATTCGGAACCTGTTAAACGATAACTCTCCATTCATCCCCTCCACCTCCCCGCCCTGGCAGCCACCACTTACTTCCTGTCTCTGTGAATTTGACTACCCTGCGTTCCTCATAAAAGTGGAATCATACAGTATTTGTCCTTTTGTGCCTGGTTTATCCATTTACTTTAATGTCTTCAAAGTTCATCCATGTTTTAGCATGAAACATGTTTTAGCATGTGTCAGAATTTCATTAATAATCCATTGTATATATACATTTTGTGTTTCCATTTATTCCTTGATGAATATTTTGATTTCTCTTTAACAAGGTTGTTAAATAAAATTGTATTTTACATTAAATAATGGTTTGTTTGTTTGTTTGTTTTCATATATTCAGACCGATTCTTTCAAAATGGGACAAGAGTTCATGAAACGTTTCCCCAGCACTGCAGACAAGCTCACTAATCTCAACCTGGTTCCTAGAACTTTAAGTTTAGACGTGACAGACAGAGTTGTGTCCTCAAAACCTGCTGGGTGCCACAAGTCTAGTCAAACGTCTTTCAGTGCCACATCAGAGGGACTCTTGCTGCAAGACACCTCTAAGATGGAGTGCTTCAATCAAACCCTTTCAACCAACAAAAGCTGTTTTACAAGTTGTAGTCCTCAGTCATACCACCTACTCAGTAAAGAACAAAGAAGGAAGAATCTTCAGAAAGAATCTTTACTCTTTATGAAAGGAGTCATGGATGAATGCACTCATGTAGCAAATTTCTCAGGTATGAATTTTTACATGAAATCGAGAATATTGGATGATCTATAAACTTGTGAAATATTTTAAGGATGTTTTATAACTTAATTTCATATTTTCCAGAGTATATTTATTGTTGGCTCCAGAATGTGTTTTCCCAGATAAACTGGTTATTTAAATGTATCATATTTATCAATGAAAATCTAAGACCAGTTTTTAATTTTTATTATTTTTTTAAAGATTTTAGTTATTTTTTGAGAGGGAAAGGGAGAAAGAGGAAAAGAAACCTTAGTATATGGTTGCCTCTCACACACCTCCCACTGGGGACCTGGCCTGCAACCCAAGCATGTACCCTAGACTGGGAATCAAACCATTGACCTTTGGTTTACAGGCTGGCACTCAATCCACTGAGCCACACCAGCCAGGGCTAAGACCATTTTAAAAAATATTTATTTATTCTTAAGAGAGAGGGGGAAGTGGTGAACAAGAAAGCAAAAGAAACACTGGCATGTCAGAGAACATTGATCGGCTGCCTCTCACAGACCCCAGCCCGGGGCCTGGCCTGCAACCTGGGCATGTGCCCCGATGAGAATCAAACTGGCTACCTTTTGGTTCATGGGACAACATCCAACCCACTGAGCCACACCGGACCATCTTATAAATTCATTAAAAACATTGGATTCTGTACCTTCCTTAGAATATTTATCTCACTGTGTTGGAGACGATTATTATATATTATGGTATACTATCGTTGATTTTTAACTTATTCAAAAAAGTCCCGGTTTGACAAATATTTCAGAGGCATTGTATGATGCACTTAATTTTCTAATACAATTAATAGTACTTGAGATTTTTTAGAAGTATATATGTTACATTTTTTAAAATCTTGCACCTAGTTCCAGTTGACCCAAGCCTCATTATAGTGGTTCAAGCCAAAGAAGATGCCTATATTCCAAGAACAGGAGTTCGAAGTCTACAAGAAATTTGGCCTGGTTGTGAAATCCGGTATCTGGAAGGGGGTCATATTAGTGCTTATCTTTTTAAACAAGGACTCTTCAGGTAAGCTGATTGGTCTAAACAGGTGTCTATTTATTGTTCGTTTTTAAATTTTTTTTTAGACTAAACAAATATAAAAAATTGGATGTTATTACATGTTTTAGTCCTCTTACTTCCTCCCTGCTTCCCCCAGCTCTCACGTGGTACTTTCTTGTCCTCTTCCAGAGAACTAGGGGTTGCATAAGATTGTCATGCTTTGTTACGTGGTTTTGCCCTCCTCAGATGTCAGTGACCAGGCATCTTAGGGAATGGGGAGGAGTGCCAGTGTTTGTAAAGCTTGCTTTGGTCCATCTGGAGTTTTTCGCTCCACACTGATGTTTTTTTGTCAGAATGGCCTGAGCATCTGTGGACTAATCTAGCAATGGTTTTCAGTAGCAAGTAAATATTGAACTTTAAAATGAGAAAAGAAATATTGCTTTGAATGTTAATAACTTTTGTGACTCCAGTATTTGATAGAACTTATAAAAACTTTCATGCTATAACTTGTTTTTTGGTATCCTGTGTTATTTCTACTTTTATTCAAATTTGATGGTGAAAGGTATCACTGAAATATAGTTGTCATTAATGGTTCAATAAATTATTTCACATAAAGTGCTTAGGTCAGTGCCCTATGTATAATAAGCATTCCAAAATTTCCAGCTGGATGGCTATACAATAGAAAAGTTGAGTGTGCATTATGTTTGACATTTTTAACTCTTTGTAGTCTAAGAAATAATTCTTTGTATGTTGTTACTTAATTAGTTCAACTTATTGATGTCACCTTTTTTTGAGGTACAGGCTAATTCTTTAAGTGTTTAATGTCCTGAAGCATATAATAAACCTTTCATTTTATTGTATGATCTTTTAAAGAATATTTATTCAGAATTGAATCCCTGTTAGTTGGTAAGTGAGCAAACTATCTACCTACCCAGTGTGACTTTCTGGCACAGCAAAACTAAAACAAACAAAAATTGTGAATACTAAGGGTTGCTAGGGTTGCTCTGGTCTAAAGTCCTGTTATATTTGTGGATCAGAGAACCCACATGCTTGCTTTAGTAAATCAGTATTAAGTTTCTCTTTCTCTTTTATGCATTTAAGTGGGCGTGTGTCTCAGAGGAATTAGGAAGAATAGATAGAACCATAACTGTAAAAACTCAAAAGGGCTCATTTAAAGGCTTCATTTGAGAAAGAGATAAATGTTAGCTATTACTGTGTTCCAAGTACTAGAGCAATTGTTTCATGTTATTAACCCCTTTACACAGAAATATAGGGGCAAAAGAGAAGAAATAACTTGCTTAGGTGGAGTCATTAGCTGTTTGGCCTCCCTGAACCCTACCAGTCACTTCAGAATCTAACAAAGTGTAGATGACACTGGAATAGAATTTTTTAAAATTCATTCTTTTCGATCACCAGGTGTAACACAAGACACTCCTATATGAGTTCTTATATTTTATGTTATTTAGAACTAATTGATAACACAAGTGAGTAAGAGACTATTCAAATGATTAAAAAGGCATATGTATACCTTTCTTCACCCTCCTTATACCATGTACACAAGGCCAGGGTGCCACCTTAGAAATCGGGAAGTGAAAGGAATTCATTCTAGCAGAGCAGGTGTCCAGGACTAACTCGGGGGGAAAACCGTCCCGTGTTCAGACATCTCAGGGCCCTCACTCTGTCTCACCTGCCATCAGTCAGTGCCCTGATACCTGCCCTAAAGCAAAACCTCTTCATGTGTTTACACCAGCATCCGGTGTTCGGCTTCCTTTGTTCCCCCCCTCATCGTGTGTGACATTTTACACGGGGCAAATTTCTGAGACACACACAAGTGTGATGGAAAACTGTCTTCCCAACATATTGGAAGTCAGTGTATTAGCAGGCTTCCAGTTTTTAAAATAATCTTAGTATCGGATGTGGGGAAGTGCTTTGTCAAACAAGTAGGTACAGAATTAATATGACCTGTTACTATTTACACTGGGTGACAGTACAGACGTATGCATTTAAAACAAAAAAACAAGCCTGTAGGCAATATATGATAACACTACAGTAGATACCTTAGAGTGATGAGATTATGACTTTTTCCCTTTCTGTAGTTTTGGATTTTCTGAACATTCTACAATGAGAACGTAGACTCTCACAACATGAAAAAAAATACGTTTTAAAAACAGTATTTTAACCTGGCCCAACTCATTTGACTATTCCTTTCCAATTAAATATTAAAATACCTAGTACAATTAATATAGGAAACTAAGGCTTTTGATTTTAAGTTCAGTTGCTAGGAACATTTTTGTAAATAAATGAAGAGTATCTATATAATAATATGATGAAGTAGATATACTACTATATTCGGAAAAGTTATGTAGCCAATTAATACTCAACAGGTGACAAAATAAAAAGGAACCAGTCTCTTTTTCTTTTATCATTTTACGTATTATTCACATATATAGACACATGTATTATATCAGTCTGAAGGCACACATCATCAGAGCAAATGCATTTGGGGTTCTCCGGTAGTGGGGAAGGTGCATGGATCCGAACGCCCACCCTCAGGTGCCTGCCTCGGCCACAGCTATTTGGAAAAGAGGCCAGGTTGCAAGCCAAAGGTAATTTTGGAGATAACTTATGTTCCCCTTTTTTGCTAATTGCAGTTTTTCATTTTAATTTTTAGACAGGCCATCTACGATGCATTTGAACGCTTTCTCCGTAAATATGCTAACTAACTGGATGGCTGTTTGTCACCAGTGTGGCCATCATGTTTCTTACAAAAGGCGCTTCCTCCTTTGATGAGGTGAAGAACCAGCAGGCAGCACTATGTATCTAATTGCTCTCACTTTGGTCTGGCATTCAGTGTTCAGGTCAGTCGACTATAATCTTTAGATGCATTTGAATGGCTTTAAACCAATATTTGGATAAAATGATGAAGTATTTTGTTATTGTTTGTGGGAATCCTGTATGCTCAGTATATATATAGTCTATTGCTACTACTTATGAAAACTTTTAATTATGAATAATTTATTAATTTAAAATAAATGTATTCATAGAAACTGTATTGGTTTTTATAGAATTGCTAGATAAAAAGTTTATAATACATCAGGTTTTATTGTATACTCCTACATATTTTTACTGCTGATTTTGCTTTGAGAAATATGTTTATTTCTTTTATGTATCCATAGTGAATTTATAATCCTATTTTCACCTTTAATTTTCTGCTGTGGAAATACTTATATGTGAAATTGCTGTTAACTTTTAATTCTAAAAAAATACTGAATGTTTTGTAGGTACTTCCAATAATTAAAATGCAGGTGGGGATGCAGACGTGACGCATAAGACTTTAAAACTGCCAAATACTAGGTTAGAAGAAACATGCCAAATGTATTTCCCCCACTGAACAACTTTCATTTCATGAAAAGTGGGAATACCTGTTGCATTAATGAATGATGCTATGTCTTAACCTTTCTTCCCCTTGTGTTCTGGGTTTGCAAAACTTCTAACTTCACTTTGGGCCAAGTACATAACAACACTGACTTTTTCATTTCAAAAATTAATGGTCAAAATGAAATTGTCAATCTGTCCCAAATAAACTTCATTTTACAGAAAATACCTAACTTCTTTAAAACTGGAAGATTACAGGGCTAGATTTAGTGCTTTCTTTTAATGATAAGCTTCTTAAGCAGAGAGCTAAAATGGTCTTAAAAGGTAGAAAATATTTTTGGGTATTGTGTCAAGGCATAGAATAAATGTATTCGAGTTTTATTTATTTGAAACCTGTGTTATCTGTAGATTATATTTAAGTTAAATATGTATTCCTACTCTAGTAAGGATATTTGAATTATAATGTGCCTTTGTAAGCTTTCTAAAAGAGATTTTATTTGTCACTCTAATACCTCCATCGTTTCAATGTTTTAAAACTATTTAAAAATTATTAATGTAAAGTCATTGATGGCATGCAGAGTTGTAAATACTGTGAAACTGCTTTAGCATAACAAACCAAAATGGTTACAGCCATTTGAGCTACAGCAATTTTACAGGTTCAGAGTAGAACCTTTACTTCTAATGGAAAGTGTAAAAATCTAAAATTCTTCAATAACATGCCCTTTACAGTAAAGGTTATTGCCAACTAAATCACAGTTAGTTTCTTTTGTATATTGTGAGGTAATGTGATGATCGAATGTTGACTAATGGCTTTAATAAAAACAACACTTTATTCTCATGTAAATATTTCTTACTAAGCAATAATGTATTATGTTCTGTGACTTTGTATTGCTAAAATAATGAAATTTTATTTCATTTTAATTAACTCTTGAGCATAACTAATTTTCCCAAAGAAATGTGAAAGAAGGTATTTTTAAAATTTTATCTCCTAACCGGATGTTTTAGGAATATATCCCTGAGGGAGCACCTGAGATCTTGCTTCCCAGCATGTCATCAATTTGGCTCAAATAAACTCTTATAAAAATTCTAAAAAATGTATATATATTATATATATCTCTGTGCACCTCCCTGAGCTGATTAATTCAAAGTCCAAAATACCTTTTCTTAAAGTTTTTATCTGTTTCCCCAAAAGAATGACTTAAGCTCCATATATGTACACACACATCTATGTACAGATATGTACACATGTGTAGGTGTGTGTGTACACATCCAGGTGTGTGCTCATGTGTGTGTACACAGGTGTGTACACACACATGCACGTACAAAGTCGTGCTGTCTTGGCATTTTGACAATTGGGTTCATAAACTGCTAGAAATACCATTAGGCCAGAGGTGCAAACTGACATCCAATACAGGCCAGCTTAGCCCACAGTCGTGTTAACCAGTGTGCATATTTCAGAATTTGCAATATGTTCAGAGCACCCCAGTTTGCCACAGTCTGCTGGACTCCTTCACGTTAGACCATGTTGCTACTTTGTGTTTCCCACTCAGCCTTAAAGACATCTGAAGCTGAGCTCCCTGATTCAGATTCCTGGTTAGGAAAAGTTATGTTAGGTAATTCATGATTACCTAATGTTGTAATTACTATTACATAATTTAAAATACACATTTTAGATTTTTTCTTATGAATGTAATTTTTAATGTGGTGCTTTCTCTTGTAAAGAATATTGAATTGTTAACACTGTAACTGAAATTTTTAAAATCATTTAGAAATATTTTATACTTCACAATAAAGGTTATTTTAAAAAACTATGTTCAAGAGGTATTACTTTAAACACAAAAAAAGTGTCACATTTGGTTAATATATCCAAACTTGAAGTAATGTGTTCCTCCTTATGACCCAAACAAAGTTAAGGCATAAATAAGGGAGGGAGGCTCCACCAGAATCATACTCTACAACAGGAGCCCAAGTTTCCCTCAAAGTCGTTGTGATGCCAGGGAACCAACACTCTGACAGACCATCGTCACCTGAATGTCGCATAACTCACTACTGGACATGATTATTTACATTACTAAATGTACCGCACACAACTGAAATCCAGAAATGAGAACTTAAGTCTAGGATACAGCTGGACTGGGAACGGGGGTCCTGGGTAGAGGCCGCCACAGAAACTAGCCTGGACATGAAAGGGGAACTTACAGCCGATGAGACTAGGGAAAAGAGGTACGCCTGGCCATTTTGCAGGAGCAGATAACCTAATTCTAGGAATAGTCATTATAAGCAGAATCCTAGGAAACAGAAGACTGTATGTGAAGAATTTGGAAACATTTTTAATTAGAAAACGTACCAAAGGAACCAAAAGACTTTTCTTAGGACCGAAAGAGCTGTGCAGATTCACCAGGCCGGGTTCATTGAAAAAAGGAAACAGTAAAAAATCGAATCTCTGACTCACTGAGGTAAAAACAATTTTCCTGCGTACAGAACCTGGGTAATTCCACACACAAAAAGTTGTATCCTAGCACTTTGCCGGCCATCTACTGAGTGTGGTCAGTAGATTGGTAGTATCAACAGCAATAACTTAACAATCATAATATTTAATCATTTTTAAATGCTCTTAAAAAAAAACTAAGTTCAAAGAAGCATAACTTTTTCTCTTCCAGTATCAAAGAACAGAGAATTTCAAGCAATAGGGTGTAGAATTCATCAATGAAAGAAACATCCAGACTTGTGGGGAATATGTATGTGTTTGAGTGAAAAAGCCTAACAGGCACGGGAGTAAAGTCTCAAATGCTCCTGGAATGACAGTTTGCAGCTTCTTTTTTGCATTTGAAGTTGAGGGAAGTAAGGAAAATTGCCCGGGGTGAAAAAGCAAGGCAGGAATTGGATTACAGGATAGTTAACAAGATTATGTGTGGGTGGGCTGGATTGGGAATAAAAGGGAGAAAACTGTACTTGAACAATGATTTAAAAAAAAGAAAGAGTATGTGCTCCCTGGAGGGTTAATACTCCTTCCAGGGATACTGTGTTTCGAAGGTGTGTTAACCCAGACGTTCCAGAACAACAGACAGAGCTGGTTTAAAACCTGTCACTAAAGAAGTCAGAGGCTGGAGGCGGGACTGCCCACTGTGACCTGCCCAGTTAGGAATTTACGATCTGATCACCTTGTGAGGTTACTTTCCACAAACCCACCCTTTTTTTTTTCATCCACAGGATAAAAGAAAAAAATCTAAATAGTGTGGCAGGAAAATCCTACCTATTATTGGTGGATAGTTCTTAAGCAAGACAAACATTTGAGAGAGTTCCTACTTCTGTTAAACTGACCCATTAAAACCTACCTACAAGTAGAGAGAACTTTACCTAGGAAAAGCAGTCTGGCAGAAAGGCAACCTAGATTTGTTGTGAAGCTGTTTACCCTGCAAACACAGTGTTTTCTGCCCCCCCCCCCCCATCTGTATAATACAGATAACTGAACAAAGCAAAATTTCCTGAAGGTGCTTTTACTCTCACTTTATCTAAGATTGAGTATGTCAGTCTGTTTATTGAAGGGAAGGTACATGTAAAGCCTTTCAAACACACATTAGCATGGACCTGCCTTGAAGGTTAGAGATAATTTAAAGTATTTAGTGTGCCCTGGCTGGTGTGGCTCAGTGGATTGTGTGCCAGCCTGCAAACCAAAGGGTCACCAGTCAACTCCCAGTCGGCACATGCCTGGGTTGCGGGCCAGGTCCTCCTCAGTTGGGCATGCAGAAGAGGCAACCACACATTGATGTTTCTCTCCCTCTCTTTTTCCTTTCTTTCCCCTCTGTCTAAAAATTTAAAAAAAAAATCTTAAAAAAAAGTATTTAGTATTTATCGAAGCATTTAGCTCATGTTTATTATGATAAACAGGGCCCAAGGCTCTTGGAACTTGGAGGTAATGATGTTTTGGTGTATCTTGTTGAAAAACAGGTCTCTCTTAAAGTCGTATTTTATAGGAAGCTAAGAAAAACTCTGGTTCAGTTTTTTACTTGGACTGTAGGACTTTGAAACAGATTATATATGATGCATTCTTTGAAATCTCTCCAGCATAAAGTGCAACTATTTGCACATTGGGTTTTTGCCAGCCTGAACCTAAATTGCACTGGTAATAAAAACAAAGGTCTTGATGTACTTGTGGGACATTACTTTCCTGAAACACCAGGGGGAGGGAGAGAAGGAGTGGGTTCAACCATCCGATGAGACATTAGCACATTCTGAACAGGAAAAACAAGATGTATCTTTTAAAAGCTCACTTGAACAATTATTTGAATATTGAGTTTGTATACGGATAACTGATGTTTCGTAACTTGTGAGGGCCTAGAGAACCATCTCCCTTCTTTGAAAAGACACCCCTGTACCTGTGCTCTATATTCAAGTTTTCCATTACAAAGAAAAAGGAAAAGGGGAAAAAAAACCTAGGGGGGTGGAGGTGGGGAGCACTGGGAGGGTGGGCTGAGATGGGAGTAAAAGAAAACTGTACTTGAACAACAATTAAAAAAATTTTGAGGTCACAACTTGAGGTCCACAGTCCTTAGTAGGCCATTCTCTTTGTTCTTTTTTGATGTTCCTGTCTTAAGGAGAGCATTTGCCTGGTGGTCAGTGGCTATGAACATGCATTTCAAACTTTTGAAAGGATACAATGCATCAGGGATAT